TTGATAGTTTCTGTAATATCATGAGCACAGATTACAAGAAATAAAGTGATCAAAGAAAGTGTAACTTCTTATTGTATTCAAAAGCTTTCTTAAAACAGCTCAACTAACTCCAAGTAGTTGCTTAATAGACAAGAATTTTTTTCATAAGAAATGTACTGAAAGCAACAAATCAGGTTATTTTCCTCCCTTTTGAGCTTACACTTACACATCAGCAATTGTTCTTGAAACTTAATGCTAAAAATGATAGGCAAGGCCAGTTGTAAAAGCACATTGCTTTCAAGGTAAAAGTACTTTTTTAATATGATGCAAATGTGTTAAGGTTTAAAAATGGTACTTTACAATACTCCTACTATGTTTTCAGTTGCAAGATTAGTATTTTCTTGCTGAGGGGCATGAAGCCTACCAAGCAGGTAATATTGACTCAATTTTTAGGAAAGTAAAGCAAACACAAACAATGTAAACTACTACAATGATCACTACTCTACAGACTTTAAGAAAGCAGATCATTAAAAACCAAACAACAAACCATCTTGAGAAACCTTTACAGCACAAGAGCCATGCTGCAACAGAACCTCAAGCTTCTCAACACATACAGTGCAGGCATTAAGCATCAGCCCCAGGGCTGAGCTGATCAGCATTGACTCACGGCAGGCATGAGGTTCTGACTTCAAGAGTGTGGATCCTCCATGCTCTTTGTCACAAAACAAGCATGTCCCAAACCTTAGTTGGGTCAGTCCCACTGACTTCAGTAGAAGAGTATAAAGTATAAAAGAAAACAATGTTTGTGAAGAAACTTCTGGGATCTTTGCATTTCTTTTATTTTTTAGTGTTCAAAGTTAAATGGAAGACTTTTTGCATAAAAAAATTACCAGAAGTTAAAAAGTTTATATATTTGTGTGACCCAATGCAAGAAAGCCTCTATCAGGAATCACTGTGTGCTGACAGACAACCGAGGAGTCATTAACTACGTTCTAAAAAAAATAAACATCAAATGAGATGTTTAGAAAAGCACGCCCACTGCCACAGCCTTGGGAACCCGAACCACTACCTTACAAAAAAACACGTAAGACAATCTGGTCTGCTCACACACATTTTTACTGCCGCACTTTCTTATACAAAGAAAGTTTTTCAGCAGGAGCTGCCACTGGTTCCCAGGTGCTCAGCTGTAACTATGTGGACAATTGCACTCCTCTGGAACTGTTTTGAGTGCCCAGGAAGGAGAGTCTGAAGTGACTAAAATAAGATGGCTCAGAGACCGCCCAAAGAGATACCAAGCAATTGCCAAAACCCAGAAAATTTATTCAATTAAATAAGCTAGAAAACTTCAGTAAATTACTCCAGTCTACTTTGGTAATACAGACAAGTAAACAAAAAAAGCTGTATGAAGAACTCTAAATGAATAAATGTGAGGAAGCAAAATAGCTGCAGAAGTCCTAGCATAATTTCAAAGTGCTTGTCATGTCAGAACTTTCTTTTGTATACACGGAGTTTTCTTCCTTTGACAAGCAATTCATACAACATCTTAAACATTGAAAAAGCTTTCCATAAGGTGTATAATGACAAAGAGAGGAAGGGAAAAAAAACCCACAAATTGCGTTTCCTCTTTTTTTCTTCATGGTTTTTTTTTTTCTTTTAAGCAGCAGGGGACTAAGCAAGGATTAAGAAAATTGCAGAAATTATCTTCAGCCAAGCAAACCTCACCAAGAATCAGAACTACCATTTCACTGAAGACCTTAGTTACGACCTTTAGGAGTTGCATCCTATGCTAGGCACTGCCATGTCAAGTGAAAAATTCCACATCAAGATTCTCCAGAGCTTGCCTTTGAAATGAAAAAACATACATAACAGGGTGTATGTCCACACTAAGTAATGCAGGACTGTGCTGTGACATTTTAGTAAATGGTTGTTTCCAGAACTGGGACTAATGTAACAGAACTGTACCATTCCACAACATCAAAGGGTCAAAGCCAAAACGGGCTGGAAAGTCAGGCATGAAGAAAATCTTACCAATCCTTATCTTATTTGCACAGATGAAAAATCTACATTTTCCTTCTCTGCACCATCAGTCTCTAACTTACTGACTCTGTCAAAAGACATATACTTTCTGGGGAAAGAGATCAAAAGCCAAAGCAAAATAGAATATAAAATACACTGACCAATACTTATTTATATCACTAATTCTTTCCATCTACTCTTCTATACATTGCATTGAAATGCTTGTATACTTTACCACAATGATTTATTTCCTACTGCTGTAAGGCAGAGAAACTCTAAGAAACTTCATCTAAATTTCTGTTTTGCTTGGGCAAACTGCAATGAAATATTTATGAGTATTCCATGGTTATTTGCCCCCAATATTCTCTTTTGAATGCAGCAATAACGCTCAAAGCAACTATTTACATACACAGGACATTCACAGACAACATCTAGGTAATGGCAGTATCACAAGTACACTACATTTGGTGAAGATAAGGATGCTGGTTGGAAATAGATAAAGCAAGGAATCAGAAGTAGAAATTTTCCTTTCAAAGCACCAATTATCACAGATCACACCATTCTGATTGATGCCTTGTACCTAGCTGAGGGCTTACAGGTCTCAGTGAACAAACATGAACATCATTACTGTGTAAAAACACATTCCTGTTAGAAATGACAAACACAAGGACCAAATGTGTGCAAGTATCTCTACACACCCCACTCAGGAACTCCAAGTGAGGAGATATAGGCAACTCAGAAACAGGGACTTGTTTTGATGTATTTAGCCTAATCAAAAATCACATCTTAGTGAGGCTGAAAGGATAGCACCTCTTCATCCCTTTTTCACTCTTCTCTTTCTGTGTTTTCTTTTTAATACATCCTGCCGATACGAATGAGTAGAGTGCTTTTAGAGTGCTATTTCTGGAGGATTGAAATTATTAACTCTGAAGCTGCTGCAGAGTAGAAATCCGTATGAAACCCATTTTGTACTATCTGTGCAAGGGCCTGACTATGAAGTTCAGATACACATATTATGGGCAGTACAATGTAGCCAAATAAATTTTTGAAAGTCATACTGTTCTCTTACCTCTCAGAAATGAAACTGGACCCTAAACTATTCTGAAACAAATACTCAAAGTGCTTTTATTTTTTATACTTCTGAGTTAGCCTACAAGTATTTCTTTAAGGCAAAGTAGGTTACACACAGAAAACTCCTTATAGAAAACTACGCTGCCAGGACAATTCCACATAATTTTCTATAAGAAAGCAAATAAAGGCAGTTTTGCTAATTGATAGGCCCCTTTTATTTATTTTTAACTAAACCTATTTCATTTATTTATCAAAAGAAATTTCAGATCATACTTAAACCAGTATCTTCAGTAGCAGGGCAGAGATTAGAAAGAGCCATAATTGGACAAAACTTCATTATTAGTATATTTGTAAAAGTTTGAAATCAGAAGCATGTCTTCCTCATAAATCAAAAAGTGAAAAATTTCCATTTATAGTATAAGACCAGCATAAGTTCATAAGATATTAATAAATCTCATGGAATGCCTTTAAGTCAATAGGAGTTAGATAAGATTTCTTTCCCCTTTAAAATCATACCTTGAACGTAGCCATTAATTTCAATTGACAGTAACATTATCTGTTACAGGACAGTTAATGACTGAGGAAGAAAAAGAACTGCTTTTATTTTTCCATTTTACTCCTAGAAACTTTGGAGCTTTTTTGTTTTTGTTTTGTTTTGTTTTGGGTTTTTTTGTTTGATTTTTTTTGTTGGTTTGGTTTTTTATTTTATTTTTATTTTATTTTTTTTCAGTTAAAAAAATTCAAGTCTGTAAAGCACTGTCAGGAACCACCACTACAGAGTAAGTTTAAAGAATGGATTCCATAGTTTGTCATTTTTCCATAATCTTTAACTGATTCGTCTGCAAGTTCTTCTGAGAATTAATTTTTCTCTCTTAATACACTGCCTTTGAGAAGAATATTAAGATGAGTAGCCTTTTTCTGTTTTTTAAAGGCCTAGTCTTATTAGTTATCTTATGCTCCCTCTACTGACTCAATAAGAAATGGCCCCAAAACCCTTTAAGACACTTCTCTGAGAGAACAGTTTAGGATTTGATATAATACTTCAAGGAATTAAAAAGGATAAAGTATATTTCTGTGGAGTGTCAAATCTTTGTGAAAGTCAGACTAAAGCATCTGTTTTCTACTTCTTTCTAAGGCAGAAGCCTTAGAAAATAAAACGTTCCTGTAGCATTAACTACTATACAACCCAGTTATCATACCCCTAGGAAATTTATTCATAATGTTTGAAGGCATTTATATTTTGGTGGAAAAAGAGAACTTTAAATTTCCATTTCTGTTGTAGTTCTTATCAATATTTCTCTATAAACTCTGCTGCTCAGTTGAATCCACAAAATCTACCTAAAGTCTCCTTTACTATCCTCCTGTGAAAGACAGTAATCTACTACCAGTGCGACAGAGCACTGCATTTAGTTTTCACATTTTGAAAATAAATCATGAAGTGACCAATGAGATACAATGTAAAAAATATATCAGGGAAAGTTCCCCAAAATTAAGAAATTACTTAATGAAGGACTTTGTATACTACCTCTACTATCTTGAAAGACAAACAATCTTTAGGATGGTTTACTGTTTTGCTATTCTTTAACCTAAGAAAAATGAGTCATCTATTGTGTTGGGTTGGTTTTCTTTTTATAAAACCTCTCTTAATAAGAATAATACTGATTGTCTCTCTTTATTACATGAACTGTAAAAGAAGATTTAAATACAGAATGTCATTGTTACATCTAGCAAAAGCTATTAAATTAGTTTTGCTGTGTATTAGAAACAAGTCATTTCATACCATAATGATCTCTATATCATGAAACCAAGCCTTTCTCATTACAGACACTGACGTGAAAAAAGAAAAAAATCCAAAGGCCAAGATGAAATATAATTCCTAAATTTTGTACAGAGACCTCTATTCCACTGAGCAATAACAAAATACAGGTACTTACCAGATCAATCAGACTCTCCTGGATTCTGTTCAGTGTGGTGCGTAATCTGCTGCTACTGAGGCCCAGCCCTGTTAATTCAAACTGGAAGAAATACATTCTATATAAGTTGGGAAAGGAAAACTCATTGGTTTAAATTTTACAGTTATACAGCAAAACTTAAGTTTGCAAAGACTATCTACAATTTACTTACATTAAAGTTTTACCACATAATCACAACCATACAAAATGAAAAGAAAATCAACAGAGTTCATGGCACTCAACATTGCACTGGTGTGAGGACTGACATAAGTATCTTTCATGAAGATGACAGTTTATCATTCATGTCAATAAAACAACCAGTATCCTTTACTATTATAATACTGTATTTGGTTGCAGGACTCTACGTTTTTTCATTTGGGCAATGAGCCCAGATGGTGCAGCACAATGTCCCCTCAGAGACTTGCACGCACACCACACCCAAGCCAAATGGTCTTCACTCTAGCTATAAAATCTCATTTAATTATCTATCATGTATCTTGCATATGTAGAAATGATAACCACTGATCTTTATAAAAGAGTCATTATCACTTAATGCTTGTAAAGATCTACCTGAGAAACATGCCATCTTCATGTTAGTGGCTCAGGAGTATACGGTGCAGAGGCTCAGCTGGGATAAATCAATATAGCTACACTACTTTCCTGCTAAGTGCAATGAATTATACCAGCTGAGGGTCTGATTTGACATGCAGAACTATTGTAACTACTTATCTTCTACTTTTAATTAAAAAGAAAACCAATAAACTAAAAAACAGTGAAGGTGGAAATGGACATCTAAGAAACACACTTTTAAGTCAACAATCTTGAAGGATTTGAATACAGTTCTGGTATGTGATTCACACCAAAAGGCAATTTACTGGACAATATTTAGAGCACTGTTGTGCACTGTATTATCAGACTGTCTTCAATGGCCTGAATCAGGGAAGCCAAGTGTTTGAGTTCAAGTCCTCTCCTCTGCTTCTTTAAAAGACAAACCAGTCTCATTTAGGTCCTCATTTATTGAATCTAAGTTTCTGACTTAAGATGTCCATCTGCCCCAATTCTCCTACCTATTAAATGAAAATTTACATCTGAGCCGAATTCCCACTGAAAGTACACTCTGATGAAATCTAGAACCTGATCTAGGAGACATAATCACTATCTTGATGTCCACATTTGATAAACTGATAAATAGAAATGTTCATGCCTTTGTTTTTCTGCAAGTAAGATTTTTACTAAAATAATTTGTATTTTTCTTCAAATTTTTACTGTAGGAGCATCAGTTCTGAATTGCCTTTGATTTTGCAGGTATGTGACTGAAAAATCAAATAACATTTTTCCCTTACAGAAACACATCCTTAATTCTTAACGTCATATAGTCCTCATGCCCAAGAAGTGGGCATAAGGACTGCAAATTCAAGGCTGACTATTCTCTCTGTCAGGGTAAGAACAAATGGAAGAAAACCCCTACTTAAAAGAAAAATATACATGTATTAAAAATCTATTTGCAAGTTTCAGCCATTAAATTTTATTTTAAGAAATTTGCACCATGAAAACTACGCATCATGCAAAATCTACCGCTAATTCTTTCTTTCTCTACCTTTTGATTGCTAACTTTCAATAGCTATCAGTAACTTTTACTTATTTCTTAATATGATTATAATATGTAATTATATAATTAATATATAATGATATATTTCTTTCTAAAAAAGGGTAATTTCATATTTGAAACATATCTGAATAAAAAGGAATGTAAAAACAAACTTAAATTTCCATGGAACACTACATATTAAGTAGTGTTTTACTACTTAAAACAGATTTACCAGGGAGCCAGTTACAGCCTGAAGTCAGAATCACGTACCGATATGTATGAGTGGCCAAAAAACCAAGAAGCAAACAAAAAATATCAAAAAATAATTGTTGCTCAGAATTTTTCCACACAGACAGAACCTCATGCCTTAACACAGAACGTGTCACTCATCAGTACATCTGATTTGCTTCATAGAAGTTTTTACTAGTTCTATATGCAAAATGATAGGTATTTAAATTCCACAGGCTGATGACCTAGTAAGGCTAGTAAGCAGAGCATTAGACAATTTGCAGAATAATTCTACTCATCACCAATTTTACATAACTCCCTTCAGTTATAAAAAAAATTATGTTTACAAATTGGTGTGATATCCTGTCAAAAGAAAATTAAAACTCACCTCACCTGTTTTCTGCTAAGGAAGATTATTCTGTGGCATGTTCATGAATGTCTTACACTGTAGCGAGTAGATATTAAACAGAGCCAATTTCTTTTAATTTATATTGGATTTCTCCATAATTTGAGACAAAGCAGCCTTAACTTCCATCCCACAAACAAAAAAAGTGTTGAAAGAGCAATTCTGATTACAATGATGTTTAATTTTTGACAGTGAAGAAAGCTAAATACTGACTACTTAGGATAATGGTTCTAAAGAGGTCTGGAAAACATTAATTTTAAATCCCTGGGTTTCACTGAACTGGCAATGAACTCTGTACAATTAATCACTCTCCTTATGTGTCAACTAACTCATACATACAACATAAGCACAATATTCACAAATAATTTCAAACATTTATGTTTGAAGTTATGCCAGTGTACTCTGAGAATCCCATTTGAATTTATTTTGTAAATAAAAATAAACCAGGAATATTCTCAGTGGTCCAAATCACATACCATCACCCATCTCTACTTTCTATAGGTTTATAAACACTATGGGGAGTGAGGATATTTAAGCAGCATTACAAGAGGGTTTATTACAATCATAAACCCTTGTAAGCATTGTGTTTCCCACGGAAAATCATCTGTCAAAACAAATATTAGGCATGCTACAAAAACATCACAATTTTACCACCATCTGCTATAATGTTTACCTGCCTATCACTGTGCTGTTCTCTGTTAGAAGCACAGAGTAAGGAAGTCGGTATGGGCTTTAGAAACACAAAATGGGAGGTGCAAAAGAAACAAAACAAAACAAAAAAAGGCAACACAATGTGAATATCAGAGCAACTGACTAAGCCAACAGAAATCAATTATCTTAACAAAACAAAACCCAAACAAACAAACAAAAAACCAAACAAAAGAAAACAAAAACAACCAACCAAGAAAAAAAATTCAAAAAACAAAACACTCGTCTTGTAAATACAAATTGAAAGCACATTTGCCCTGCCAAATAGAACAGCTCAAAACCATTCAGAACCATATGCCAAGTCTGAAAATCCATTACAATCTGCCAACAGATGATGATGAATTTGGAACCCCTTCATATTACTACTTGTGGAGTAATTTAGGGGCCAAGAGAGGAGAAAATTATTTTTACACGCAATTATTCATAAACACTTAAAGACAATTCAACTGAAAGTGATCTATGTTATGTAAAGACATTGCCAACAAGTACTTATTTCAACTACAAGATCACTGAAAAATGTTTTCATTAGTGCAAGTAGTTTGACAGAAGAACACTAGATCTGAAAAAGTATTTTTCAAACCTCTTAAACTTGAGTTACAATTTAACTTTCATGGCTCCCTTCTCCTCTTTTCTTTTACTATTCTTATGGAAGCTGGAGAAATACATACTGAAAAATAAATCACCTGACACTCCCTGGGCTCAAAATCACCACCCTTCTTCTGCAGACTGCTCCTTTGCTACCCACTTTCTGCCACTACTTATATGTGTCTCATGGTTTCTTTCCTCCCTTCTAATACTGCTGGAAAAAAGAATAGAGAATCTATCTATTCAAAACATAACATGGTTAATGTCCTAGTGACAATAATGCTTTCAGTACTTATTTCCCTTATGGCTGATCTAACCAGCCTTTTCTTACTTCTACATTCAAATCCATTCTGTTGAAGCTAATTTTTTTGGGATTACATATTGGGTAGTATTTTAAGCAAAGAGATCTCCTCTGTATTTTCATTCTGTGTGTACAGTGATGCTTGAAAACTAAAAATGTTTCCACCTACCGTGTCATTTCGGCCAAAAAACGTATAGACTGCATACAGATAATAATCGAAGAGCTGGGACATGAAGTGGATCACATCAAATGCAATTGGTTTCAGAATATTCATCATCTGCATGTATTTCCCTTAAAAATTAAGTACAGAAGATCAGCTTTCTCAGTATAAGTGCTACAAAGACAATTCCAAGCTCTAAAAACTCAAAACCAGCTTTACAAAGTATATTATTTAGCCTCCAATATTGATAAACAACTCAGGAAGTTTAGAGACTGGGAGGTTTAAAAACCAAGATAAAAATGACACCTAAGACATCACAATGCCTCAAGATTTCTCAAAATGTGGACATTAATCCATATCAAAATGTCTTCTAACATTCTTGACCTTCTGGTACCAAATTCTAAATCCTCTACAAGTTTCAGCTTCATTTAGCCAAAAAATAATAATCCCCTTAAGTAGTTTCTGGCAAGGGCTATATAGAGCCACTGAAGATTTTATGCATTAGTTTGTGTTCATATATGCATATAGGGATATTTTTCAAGCAATAGAAAAGTACAGCATAAAAATTATATGACCAGGATTGGATTTTACTGAAGAACTCTACAAATAATGTGTTTCACATCGGTTCTATAGCATTTCCTGCTCTCTCTCCCTTTTATCCTGGGGTAAGAATCCCAAGCGGTTTTAAGATGTACACTTGAAATACTTTTAGAGGGACAGACTGTAAGGGAGAATGATGGGACCTTGGCACATATAGGGAGAAGACCCTTCCTTCCTGTTCTCTGTTGTAACATATTTGACTTGAGAAAATGAAAAATTTCTTAAAATAAAAAAAAAAAAAACCAACCTCAGGACTTTCATCTATATGTTATCTGAATCAAACGGATCATATGATTTGGACTCAGAAGAATTTTTTCTCTGCAGGCCTAGTTCATGGGGCCTATAGTTTTTAGTTATTTTGTTTTCCAGCACAGGGCATGGCTCTTCATCAGGTCATACAAGAAGAGGATTTAATGAAAACCCTGATACTGTAGAACCCCCAGACTGCCTGCTGGTTACCTCAAAAATGACATCCTCCTTGCTCGTTTAGCATTTTAAAAACATAAAGAATATATAATAAGTTTTTGGTTATTATAGTAAGAGACAGAAATTTTTGAACTGTAACACAAATGCAGCCTACCCAGCATGTAGGATATAGCAGATCATTTAACAAATTGTCATATTTCAGACATGTTTTGACGTGACAGGTTGAAAAAATTACATGAGGGTGCTAAAACAATTTCTTTTTCCTGTAGTCAAAAACACTGTTTTTCAAGTTAATGCTGTGCCCATCAAAGTATTTTACTAATAGATACAGAAAATCTTGGTTTAATCACAGAAACTGGGTAACAGAGAAACAAAGTTACCTTTTAGTACTGAGGCAATGGGGAGTTACTTAAATTTTTTTAAGCGAGTAATTGCGTAGGTTAGCAAAGATAACATTAATTTGACAAATACACAATACAGCTACATACCTAGTAATATGGTAGAGTACCATATTGGTTGGTAAGACCAATCTGGAAAGTAGCAAAATCAGGTTATTGGTTGGTAAGAACCAACCAATAACCTGATTTTGCTACTTTCCAGATTTTTATCTAGCTTAGAAAGAATTCAATCCCTGCTTGAATGCTATGTGTCTCTACCCCTGTTTGTTAACACACGCAAGCGTATATTTTGGTATTTTTGGACATTTGACACAGGTGGTAAAATTCAATACTTGGCAGTTTAGACCAAACGTTAACTCTATGCATAATTATTAATGCTTTGATCCACAGTATTATGAACAAACTGAAAAGCAGACTTCAAAAATTCTATTTGCCTTCCAAAAAGAAAAACCAAATGCACAGTCCAATGTGGAAATTTTTGGATGTTTGGGAAATGATGGTACCCCAATCAAAGCAACTATCACCTTCATGTGTGCTATGTAAATATTCTGTATTGCCACAGGCTGATTTTTTCCACTTACTCTGTGATAAACACATTTTTAAAATTGCCTGCAACCTAAACACAACATAAGAGTGATGTGTCACATTTTGGACAGTTAAGACTTCCATATATCTGTGCAGCTGGCATGAATATTGAACCTAATCTCTTGGGTAGTATCTTACACTTTTCCAAAGGGCTACACACTGTACACTGCCCAAGTATTGTCCCTATAAAAATCTTCTGATGCCAAGAACATTTCTCTATTACTACATCACTCAGCATCTTGACACAACAACTGTTCCAAGAACATTTCCTCCTAGTTGCTCCCTCTAACAGGACACTAACTTTTAATTTCTACACATTGTTACCTAATTGCACTAAAATTCCTATTTGGGGTGAAAAAGGGATATATAAGAACATTTCCAAACAGCACAAACTAATTCACACCATGATAGAACTTCCAGCAATGCCTGAAACCACCACTTAACAGTTTCAGCAACTCACAGTAGCTTGACTTTCTAGAGGCTCCCTGCTAATAGCTAAAACTGCTAAACATTTGCCAGGTTTCTTTTGAAGCATTGCTTCCAGCACTCCTTCTATCCTTACAGATAATAAGTAGAGAGTATTCTCTACCAGACTACTCTATATAAAACTGATGCACCTCACAAATTAGCGCACACAAATCTTTGCCAATAGAACGGCCAACCTGGAAAAGCAAGCTTTAAAGTAGGAAAGCTGGGGAAAAGGGGGAGTTATAGTGACCAACCAAGCATCAAAAGAAGGTTTAAGTGGAGATACCTCCAGCAAGTACTGGCAACCAAAGACAGGACTATAAGACAGGAGCATGGGGCATCCCCTTGCACTCCCACTGGGATACTGACGCACTCATATACCACTATAAAGTGCCTGTACACCAATGCATGCAGGGCAAGGAACAAACAAGAGGAACTGGAGATCTGTGTGCAGTCACAGGGCTTTGATATCATCGCAATTACAGAGGTGTGGTGGGATAGTCTGTGTGACTGGAATGTTGTCATGATGGCCTACATGCTGTTTAGGAAAGACAGACTGGGAAAGCGCAGTGGTGGGGTTGCCATCTATATAAGGCAACACTTGGAATGTATCGAGCTCCATCCTGGGGTGGGTGATGAGCCAGTCAAGAGCTTATGGGTTAGGGTAAAAGGGCAGACTAGAAAGGGTGACACTGTTGAGGGTGTTTGCTACATGATGCCTGATCAGGAGGAGAAAGTGGATGAAGTCTTTTAATAGACAACTAGAAGTAGCCTCATGGTCACAGGCCCTGCTTCTCATGGGGGACTTCAACCACCCCAACATCTGCTGGAAGAACAAAACATCAAAGCACAAACACTCCAGGAGTTTTCTGGAAAGCATTCATAACTTCCTGACACAGATGGTGGAAGACACCAATGAAGAATGGTGTGTGGCTCAACCTTATACTAATGAACAAGGAAGGCCTCGGAGGTGTGAAGATCCAAGGTGCAGCCTTGGCTACAGTGACCATGAGATTGTGGAGTACAGTATCTTGTATGGAGGAAGCAGGGTAGCAAGTAAGGTCACAACTGTGGACTTCAGGAAAGCTAACTTCAATCCCTTCAGGGATCTTCTTGGAAGAATCCCATGGGAATAGGCCTTGCAAGGAAAATCCATCCAAGAGAGATGGTCAGTACTAAAACACCACTTCTTCCAGGCTCAAGAACAGTGCATCCCGATGAGCAAGAAATTGGGAAAGGGGGTGAGAGACCTGTGTGGATGAACAAGGAACACCTCCAAAAACTCAGTCATAAGCAGGAGGTAGACAGGAGGAGGAAGCAAGAAAAGGCCACTTGGAATGAATAGAGATGTTGTCAGAGTAAGTAGAAAGAGATGGGACCCTGGTGTGAGAACACAGGGATGGCAGAGACACCAAATGCCTTTTTTGCATCAGTCTTCACTGATAAGACCATCCCTCGTTAACCATTAGTTCAAGCAATGTGTCTGATGCCCCTATTGTACTATAAACTAGCAGCTCGTTCTTTGGCAAAACAATAGGAAAGTACACCTTGTACACCTGCCAGCTGTACAAGGTCATTACAGATGGACTGAACTGCCAGTACAAGCAAGTTGTGAGAAATCCAAAGATGTGCATAAGGGAGGGACTTGTGACTAGGATGTTGATAATACAACAGAGACACAATGCAGCGAGATGTCATTCAAAGTATTGCACATTATTTTGGTAAGACTCTAACAAAAGTAGAAAAACAACTGGTAAGAAAGCAGGAGATTTAAGTTTCTGGTAGATAAATACAGAGGATGCTAAAAAGCTTAGTACATTCTGTTTAGCAAATCAGAGAGTGAGAAGAAATAGGATTGCTTTCTGTAAAACCAGCAGCACAGTATGCCCTGAAGAACAAGACAATCTGTTAAGCATAAAAGGTTCTTTTGGTATAAGATTGAGTGGGCAGAAAGTAAGTGGATAATTTTTTCTTTTTTTTTTTTTAACCATTAAGTTGTTAAGATTTTGGAATACAATTCCTGTTAGACAGAGTGGTGGGAAGAGAAGTATTTTTAAGCCGGAGCTCAAAACATGCACATTTACAGGCAGTAGTAAATGACCCAACTTCCTATAAGGGGCTGCAGGGGGTCGTTTTCCAATTCCATGTTTCTAATAGTGGTATTATCAGTCATTACAAAAACAATATGAAACACCCCAAATAGTAGAAAAAAATTGAAAATTAATCATAATTCCAGAAGGAGAAAAAAAGTGTATATATGAGCTTTGAAAATGACGTTTAAATTTTGAGTTATGAACAGAATCCACAAATAGAAAGACTTATGTAAAACGGGAAAACCAGAACTACAGCTCCACCTACTCACACACTGTTAGGGCAGGGGCAGAGGCTGGGGTTTGCATGAAAGTGCTATGAGTGGTTTCCAGATTCAATTCTAAATTTTCTTGGATTAGAAAGCAGCAAACAAATCTCTTCAACGTAACTCACAAACCAACGCCAGAAAAGTTACAACAGAATAATCTCAAATCTCATTTCACCTCTATATTGTAAATGCTCAAGGTAAAAAAGGGTTTCAGCAAACCTGCAAAAACCATTTAGTAAATTAATTCCTGATTTACATGCTGCCCCTAAAGACAGCAAAAGGTACTAATCAAGTGTTGGAATAGCCTTTTTTAAAAGAGTTTACTCTGAAATACAACAATCATTTTCAAGCACATAAATATTGAAGACAAACTTCATTAATGCAACACATACAGAATTCCTCTCTCTTCTGCCTAACCTGATAAATGTAGGTAGTTACTTCTATGAATAAAATGAAAGTCAGTAGCTACTGTACAATTATCTAGCTAATCAAATGGAAGGCATGAACACAAAAAATCAATTCCATTAGACCTAGATTGGAGGCAAGTGTTTTCATAGAAAATGTGGCTAGAAAAGGACTGAAGAAGTGGCCTAGTGCAACCTCCTGCTCAGAGCAGGTGTAAGGAAATGAGGTTGCTCTGCAGCCTTTCCAGTCATGTCTTGATCACATCCAAGGACAGAGATTCCCTGAACTCCCTAGGGATTAATGGGATGCATTTCAATTACTGAAATTATAGTACGGGTGAGTTCTTTTCTTCTAGTTGTTTACCACGTAGTAAAAATAGTTACTCTGGATGTGAGAATTTGTGTAATGAAACAGGAAAAAACCTAGTCTGTAAATTCTTACTTCTGCAACAATTCTACTTTAAGACAAAGCATTTAATAAGACACATCAGCAACACAAACATTCATCTTTTTGCTTGCTATCTCCACTCTTTTTACACATTCAATATGTTAGACAAATAATCCACCATTATAAGTTAAAAATCAATATATGCATGCAGATTAACTTTCAAAGTGAAGTAACCCATAAGATACAAGCAAATTTGTCTATTTAAATAAAAAATACTTGTTTAGTGATTTATTCCTATTTTATTAACATTTTCAAAGAGTAGAAAAGGAGCCCAATTAGGTATATTTTTAAGGCCTTAAGTTTCATTCAACATATTTGCTGTAATAGGTACGTTTGCACAAAAATCAAAAACACTTACAAAAAACTACAATTGCTCTACATACCAACAAGCCGTATTACATTCAGGGTAGTGTTTGTTAGAATAGGTGCATTCACTTTATTGAGGTTGTAATCTGATCTCTTTCTGCTCCTCAGAGTTTCTCGAGAAACACTTTAAAGAAAACAAAATACACCAAATGTGACAATATTCAAGGACATACAAATGAAATTTAGTAGAAAATAAATTATTCCTCCCCTCTTCTTTCACATGACAGTATGTCTTCCGGTGAAGCATTTTATTTATGCCAAAGCATAACTGGGTTAGGATTCTAACATTTAAGAGAGAAGCCTGACCTAATTTACACAGAATTGTACTTGAGGAAGGAATTTCTTGGACTGGTAGTCCAAGGCTTCAGTTCTCTGCCTTGCCCCACCAACCATTTTAATCACTCTGACTCAAGACAACAGTTCATGAAGTAAAAAATGAAACCAACACAAGCCACAACAAAACAGGGGCAGATTAGTCAGCTACAGATGAAAATTACTATCTGGAAATGGAATTAATTTTGAGGAAGATGAAATTAAAAAAAAGTCATTGAATTTTTCATGAAGTCTAGTCCTGCAAGTGGCAGGGAGTCGGACTCAATGATACTTATGGATCCTTCGCAATTCCAGATATTCTATTTTCCTATAAGAGAAACCTTCTGCCAGCTGCCATAGCTCAAAACAATATTATTCCAAAAATTCAGAATGCTTGAATTTCACAGCACAAACATATGGACAGCAAATATTGTTTGTTCCAGTTAAGGAATTTTTAAACATATCTCCATCAATTCTTTGAAATTAAGTAGTTCACATGATGTATCTTATGGAATCATTTAACAATATTTTATCCTGAGGAGTTATTCTGTAAAAAACCCATTACTCTGCTTTGACATAAGTGATGGCATTTTGGTTCTCCTGCAATCCCTACATAAAAATAATGTTAGCCTGCCTTACAAAGTCTGAATGGACATCTAAGTTGTACAGTATACTAGACAGAAATTTGTATTTCAGATCCTTTTAAAGGCTACAGAGTTGGCTTTTGTTTATATTAATAGATATTAATTTTTTATTATATTCATTAAAATAGAATATGTATATTCATTCATATATGTATGTGTATATATATTCTCAAAGGAAAAGATAATTTAAAATTCCAAAGGACTGTCTTTAAGCTATGGAAGAATCTCATTTTTTTTTCTTCCTCTGTAGAAGTTTACTGTTCTGCAAAAGCAGAAGCCCAAAATTCAAGCCATTTGTCTGCAAACAACTGATTTTGACACAACAGAAATTATACATATGCACAACAGCTGCTATAGAAGAACCTTCAGTTAACATCTAGTCCTTGCTAATCAGTGTTCCACGACCTGCTTCAGAGAGCCTTTGTCCTCTTTCAAAATGCTGCTTTTTGCAGCTTCTCTCTGCAATAATGATGAGCAGTTTTATGTTCCTCCCCATTCTGGAGATCTAAGTGCTGAGACCTCCTAACTGTGCAGGCAGCATAAAGATTATTTAATTATTATTCCACTGTTGTAGATTATAGAAAGTGAACTACTTAGAGTACTGAGATGAAAAGCATGTAAATTAGACCAAGGACTCACAGAGCCTACTTACCTTTTTATCGGGGCATCTCCTGTCTGCTCATCCACATAATCTCTTTTCAACTCTTCAGGAACATCACTGTCACTATCATACTCTTGATATGCACCTTTTTCTTGTTCATCTGATTCATACTGTTCAAAACAAACAAACAAACAAACAAATAAATAAATATACTAACATATCTCTTATAATAATATCACTCGTAATGTGGCACTTTGGTAATTTCTTGTCTTTTACCTTGATCATAACACAAATAATTTTGCTGGTTGAAAGGCTGCTGACAGTGTTCATTAAAAATGCAACAGGTAAATTATACAAAGCCATTTTTAAGTGCATTTCTATTTTCAGATCTTGATTGAGTAAATATCTGCATCATCCTATTTCTCCCATCCTATTTGCATTCTAGTTGGTGTATCAAGTACTCACATATCTGAGATTTTATTATTTACTTTCTAATCTGAAAAAATAGTAATAAAACCTCAAAATTCATCCATACAATGGTAATTTAAAAGAAACCCTGGCACTACACAATCCTTAATTATTATTGCAAGAAGGACTAAACTATTACTTCACGAAAATACTTATTTATCTTGTACACATTTATTTTTTTAAAAATACAATACCAAAAAAACAAACCTGCAGTTGCTTGCAAAATTGCTTTTAGAATACTCCAAAAGACATTTCTGCTAGGGAGTCTTTCAACCACTTAACCTTATAGAGACAATGAATTTTGACTAAACACAAGCACTTCACAAAAACAATACGTCTAAGGTCACTTCGTCTGTTCAGCCTGGAGGAGACTGAGGGAAGACTTCAATGCAGTTACAACTTCCTTGTGAGGGGAAGAGGGGGGGCAGACATTGATCTCTTCTCTCTGGCAATCAGTGAAAGACCTAAAAGGGAACAGCCTGAAGTTGTATCAGGGGAGGTTTAGGTTGGATATTAAAAAGAGGTTTTTCACCCAGAATATGGTTGGGCACTGGAACAGGTTCCCCAGGGAAGTGGTCACAGCATCAAGCCTGACAGAGTTCAAGAAGCGTTTGGATGATACTCTTGGGCACATGGTGTGACTCTTGGGGATGGTCCCATGTGGGACCGGGAGTCGGACTCGATGATCCTTGTGGGTCCCTTCCAACTCAGCATATTCTGTGATTCTCTGAAATGCTATTACAACTATGTAAGTATTTCTCATGGCTCTATCAGCATGTAATTTTTTTCTCACTCATTTTTCTGCAGTGTATGCCATACTATCTACCTCAACAGAAAGGCAGATAACTTTGCATACATCTGTATGCCCTATGCACACAAACTTTTCACTGTCATGGAACAACCAAAAATTGCAGAGCATGCAAGCAACAGGATTCTGCAACCCAAATTGGCGTATCTTTCCTCATAGAGAACAAAAACTACAACAAATCCCAAACCCACATGACACCATATGATTGTGAGAAGTACTCTAATGATATAATTCAACTGTATCAGTGGAATAAATCACTGGGGCCTAGATTAAAAGTATTTTCCTTTCTCACCCACCCTTGCTTCCTCAGAAACCTCTATCAGGTGTTTGGAGCATGCTTGCATTCATTTGTGTGTGTTGGTTTTGTTTTAAAACAGACACCATCCCTTATCTAGTTAAAGACACAGAATCCTGATAGTTAAAATACTGATGTAATTATTCATGAAACAAATCCTTTTTGATGGAATAAAGTCTCATGCACCATTTGCTTCATTTGTCACAAATTATTCCAGAATAACCCTACAAAATATGTGAAAGCATAGACAAATGAATCATGTACACCTGCTTCAAGACATGCCTTTCTATACATTTCATGTATACATTTGATGGTAATTCCACCTCTTAAAAACTATGAAACTGAAGCAGATACAGACAACTACTGCCTCCAAACTCTCAGCTGCATTTTTGGTTTTTTGAAACTGTTTCTCTCTGTTCAATTGTTGAATTGCGTTTCAGAGATCACAAAAGAATTATTTTCAACTCAAGGATGCAAGGTAGGAGCCTAAAAGATGATATCTGGAAAACAATAAGTAATGCAGGCTAGCACACAGAAAATACAGTTTAGCATTTCCATGCTGGACATATATTACTATTGCCAGAGTATGAGCTTTGTGGCTAAATACTAGCCACAAATACAGACACTAAATGCTTTTTATAAATATGAAGTCACACATACATATTAAAAGTGTACAATTAGGATTTTTACACCTGTAATTTGCAATCTTTTTTTTCACTCCAATTAAAAGCAGTATTTAATGCCAATCTCTTTTTCAGGTGTTCTAGGTTGTTCTCTAGCATACATGCTTCAGCCACTTCAGAAATAATGAAATAATTTTTTTCACAAAGTGAATTTCTTAAGCCAGAAAAGATTAAAGAAAAACAAATGCTTGATGCTCTGTGATACAACCCTTTTTCCTGAACACCTACACAGCGATTACAATGTTAATCGCACCCATCAGGCTTCAGAATGCACTTGAAGAGACCCTATCACTTTTCCTTTTAATTTTCCTTAACATGTACATTGCTTTGAAGCCATTTTATCCAAGTAGTCAAAAGTGACAGATATGACAGACAGTCTGGTTCCAGGATCCTTAAAAAATGGTAGGTTTTTAAAAAAGGATAAGACCTCTCTAGAGAGGAAAACCCAGTCTCTCCATCATGCAAAACACCAGGAAACATATTTTTTCAGTTACGCCTGGCAATTCCCAGCCCAAATCCCAAGTTCCTGAGACTTGTAAAGCCTAGCACTATGAAAGCACCATATTAGAAAAGCAAGAATCCCACATTACAAAAATTCAAAGCAAAAACAGCTCAGGTGGAAAAAAAGAATGTAGTATGAGACACATTCTAAAATGAAATATTGATATCAATAGTATTCACAGGCAAAATTTCTGTCTCTTGACATTTTAGACAAAGGAAAGCTGTAATGAAAGCAGCTCATTTATTTAAAAAATGAGCTGAGTTCAGCCGTGGCTAAGGACAAAAAGAGCCACAGTTTAACTAACTTGGGTGGAACATTAGCACAGAGAATTACCACCACTTATTATGCATTAATATATAATAAATGACATGCTGACTCAATTAAAATCTAGTGACAGTAAAATGATAAATTGAGAACAAACCGTTAACTATAATTCGTACTGATACATGAATCTGACAATTGACATTAATTAACTCTCTTAACATCATAGAATAAAAGGATTTTAAGAAAAAAAAATTTAATGTGGAAAAATACTTTATTAAGTCTCCTCAATCTAATGCTATTAATGATCTGGAAAAGTTATTTAATGAGTTAAATGCATCTGCATTTTAAAGTATGCAGTAACTCACAACTATTAAATAGTGAACTCAACCCAAAGAGATCTTATAAATCTCTCTTGAATATGCACACTCTGCAGTAAAATTTTAAAGTGATGAAATGAATTCAAGTATCTTGTAGCAATAATCAGTTCACAAACGTTTAGGCAATCAGCCCAGGCAAACCCATAGGCAGTGGTAAGATTCATCAAAGTTGAAGAATGCTACAATACTGTGAGTTAACTGTATCACAACAAATACATTTTAAGAAGCTACAGAAAAGGGACATAAAGCATCTCAATGAAGCTCAAGATACAGAGCTGAGGTGACTGGGTCCAGAGGCCCATTTTCAGTTGTCCAGAACTGCAACAACTAAGCAGTTACAAAGACTTTAAAATTCTCAAAAGAAATCCTGGCAGTTCTCACCATCCTACAGATTATATAACAAGTAAATTAATTGCTTATGTCCTTGTCATGATATTTCTTAAAATGTTTGGAAACACGTCTGCATTCTCTGGAAACAAAATTTTGCAACCTCCATCTGCAATAATTTCAATTTTAAGTTCTAAAACGTGCCTCCATCTTAACCGGTCAGTTAAGAAACCAAAACACAAATCCTCCATATAAATTTCATCCCACATTACCTAAGCAAGTATTTCTCTTTCTATGTAAAGGATAAGGAAAACCACAGCCTGCCACTGCAGGCAGCCATTCTCAGCCCAAGCAGAGCAGGCATATGGCATCCTGACAGGACCCATCTCCACCACAGTGCTTGCAGCAATACCAGCACCTACCTGCAGAGCACGAGGCAATCCTTTACTAGCAAACTAATGCTTACTGTCTAATGTAGCTCCCGCTCTGAGACTGAGCCTCACACACCTTCAAAAAACAAACTGAACTTTAAAAGGGATGCCTGACTTTCTGGCACTGCTAAAAGAAAAGCAACACAGTACTGCAGGTAACTGATTCTTGTATCAAGACATTTCGCTGTCATTGTTACACAAAATGAATCAGCATTTACTGAAAGCACAATATGCTTTTTTTTTCTTTTTTTCCTGAATCACTCCATACCCCATTGGAAGCTAGCACGTCCTCTGTCTCGTCATCTTTGTTGTCGGCCTGAATTTCAAATGGGTTTCCTCCATTACAGTACTGCTCAAATAAGGTCAGCGTTGCTGAAATTGCTGAAGCAGGCTGCTTACTGGGTGACACCGATGGGGAACGTGACTGCTCCATGAACTTAAATTCCTATTAATAGAAATAAAGTACAACTTTAATCAGGCAGTTTCAGTATTATTATGACAGCAGTTCTATAAAAATAGAGGATAAAAACAAACTTTTGGACAATTAGCCAAAGATTGCTGCTTATTTAAACACGCTTTTCATGCTGGCTCAAGTTAACCTTGAAAGTGGCAATCTTATACTGCTGGTCTTGGCAATTTTAGCAGTTTTTCACTATGACATGCAATACATCTGCATTCTGAAAGTACTTACAGTCTAAAACTAGGTGAAAGCTAATTGGTTTTTTATTTCACAGAAATGAGGAGATAAAACAAGACTTAAATTCTATCCAAAAATGTAGTTTTCATTACAAAAGTTACCAAGAACTTTACTAAAGCTGAAATTTTCTTGTTGATACTTTATTTTTAAAAAGTTCTTTTCCAAATTTTTTATTTCTCAAACCCACTGCACATAAGCTTTCTGATCACTGGGTGAGTGCAAAAACTTTTGCAAATAAATGGACCAAGTAGGACACATAAGGCATGATTTTTGACTTTTTTTTTCTAAAAATCCTGACTTAGTTGATATACCACTTTTATCTATTAAACTCTAGCTACTGATTTTCAACAATGGCAAAATGTACATCGTCATTTAACTGAAGGTTTAAAGATCAAAACACATGCAGATAAAAGGATTACAATATTAGATTTCTCTTTGCTTAAATGAATCAGTTACTTTCTGCAATTTTCTGCTGCTCCAGTCCCTTGAGCAGTATATATGATTTATAATCCCATTTCTCTACTAAAAATATTATTTCTTTTGTTACTGGATGCTACTGAGCGTCCTCCTTCCTTTTTCCTTTCTACTATTACTGCCCCAATAGCCTATTGCTTGCTTCTACAGTTAACTCTACAGAAGCTGCAAAACTATCTTTTTTCTTAAGATTGCTCCACTAAATCATTTTCACTTTAGTTATAGCTTTAATCACAGGCACCATGTTTTATTTGGCAAAACAAGTGAATTTCATTCACCACATGCTGAACTTAACAAAAATCACTTGAGGACAGAAAGTGAGCACACCAATTACTTGCTTTCAGTGGGACTTCAGCACAGAAGAATATTTTTTTCCCTTTCCAAATGAGCCAGTATGACCTACGTTTCCAGAAACAGATGCCAGATTGGTACAAGCTAGTGAGCACTCATGCCACTACTTTTAGGCGCTCATCTTTTAACATCTTACTGTCAGACAAACAATTTAGAAATTGAAAACAGACATATTAACAGTACATTGAAACATGAAAAATAAAGGCTAACATTATGCTTACAATTCTAGCATCTTCCATAAACCTCTACCTGCCTGAAACAGAAACACTACCATTTTAAAACCATTTGGTTCGTGGGTTTCCAATATCATGAAGTAAAATTTAAGAGTTTTTAGCAGCCATTAAAAACATTTGAACGGTAGTTCATGATCTTACTACTTCTTAGAACACCTGGACTCTTACTTGTTAAAGTATTAATACATTTGTATGTTTTATACGTAGAACGTACATGAAGCTGCAGAATATTAAAGCTTGATTTAACAGGACAAAGTTCCCAGGTCTCATTCTCCAAAAACATTCTTAGTTCTTCAAGACGGGTTCTGAAAAGCAACAAATGAATACTCTTAATTGGCAGGAAGTGTAAATCAGAAAGTCTCAAAGAATGTCTATCTCCAAAATTTGGAAACAAATTTTTTTGGTCAAAACCATTACAAACTATAGAGGGACATCTATGATTATGCAGCAATACTGGACTTTTTTTCCTCTATGTAAACTGTAGAAAGCAACACTGTTAGCAGCACAACAGCTTCTGAAAGACCAGACAAGACAGATGCTCCTTTCAAACACACTGAAGCCAACACATAGCAAAGGGAAGTGGAAAGAACTCATGTCCCACGGGCATCTCAACTTTTCAGAGAAGAAATATTAAATGGCTATTAATCTGTATTTTTCTTCATAGCTTAACTTTCATTGGTACCAATTAGAAACTGTAATAAGGAAAAGTAATCAAGCCATTACATCCCTGCATTGTTTCTGTTATGTTTTTAATCACTAGAAAAGCCTCTGTTTGGTCATAAGCAGAAATACCTTTAATAAAGAAAAAATTTTGCCACATAAGTGGAACACAGAGGAAAAGACAGCAATGAGTGCTTATTGAGGTCACATAGCTCTATCTTTTCTTCTTAATATCTGGTATATTGTTTTGTTTAACAAGTATCAGTTGGTAATTTATGCACTGGGTTTCTAATTAGGTAATAAAATATTCTAGAAATACCACTACTTCAATAATGAACTACAACCACCGCTACCATTAAAATTTGCCTGCCTCAATGAGATAAAGCAATGTGTTGAATTATGACTACAGTTTGCTGTGTCTATTTAAATTCACCAGTTAAATGCAAATAGACTTCAGGTGCTATTTTCAGTGCATTTAGTAGCCATAGCTTGCAGACCTCACAGAAAAGCCAACAGAAACAACAGACAGAGGTGCTGTGAAAACCCGAGTTAGATTAAAATTCTTAGTGAGGGAGACTAAGGGGAAAGAATCACAGAAAAGCAAACATTTAAAACCCACACAGCAACAGGCTTTGTAGCATTTCAAAGCTGAAATCAAGGCTCTGACAAAGTATTTGAACAAATGCTCTTCATTTTCACCAGCATATGTTTAGAAAGGGGCACACACAGAAGACCTGATGCATTCATTCTCTGAAAAGCTTTAGTGATCAGGTACACCTTTTTACAAGTGTATCAGTACAAAAAGTAAATTGAATTCCAAAAAGCACCTTACTGATGCTCTTCACCAAAAGCCCATTCAAATTTCTCAAAATAATCAGTTTTCACCGCAAAAAAGGCTCTAGTACCATGTTCTCTACCACATTTTTTGAATTACATGGCCAATTCCTTTGAATGTTTTCTTTGTGTTGGCAGTTCTCTATAACCCCACACTGCCCAGGAGGTCACATATGTCAAATTACACAAAAAAAGAACTGATTACTCCTGGACACTAAGCATTTCAACTCTATGTAGCTTTTATGTACTAATTAATCCTTAAAAGCTCTACTGCTTTTCTTCTTCCCCTCCAATTAAATACACAAGAGGAACGAAAGCCACATTAGCTTGATCTGAAAAGGCAAGATGCTTAAAGCTTTTATATAAAATAACCAGAGGCACATAGCTGTGAGGCAAGGTTTTTTAATATTTTTCCTTCTGAGGATGAAAACATCAGCCAATTAATCGTCACAAAACCCACACAGCATAAAATACACAGGAAGTATTAAAAGGTTCACACAATTTGAGTCATGTCAATAAATATTTCCTTTTATTTTCACAAGATTTACATTACATTAATAAAAAGCACAAGTTATTTCAAAAAATTATTTCTATATGTATTCCATCAGTGTTCCTTAACCTTTATTTTACCCAAAGATAATTCAGAAAATTAGTCCCTAAGCAGTTAAACATAAGCAAAACCACAGCAGTCAAAATGATATTTACTTAACCAAATAAGGCATTATGTGGTAAGGCAGTGTAGTAAAAGATGGTTAGGTAGACCAAAATCAGTTAATGAAATTCAGTTCAGGATTCGGAAATGCTTTCAAGAATTAAAGATAGGTGGCATCTCCTGACAAGACATAATGTAGATACGATTAAAGCTCAAGCTTTTCAGACAAACTGGAACTGAGCTCTTCATCAAATGTCCAAAAAGACATTTGGTAGCTATGAACTACCAAAGCTGGAAAAAATTTTAAACCACATTCTCATCTTCTGAATTTAGACACTGTCTCATGTTCTCCTGCCATAATTTTCATACTTTATGGATTTTAGGCAGAAAGTCTCAGACCAAATGTGTCTGGATGTATTAGCTGTATGACAGATGACAACAGATCAAGACTAGGAAAGTAAGTTTCTTAGAACACAGAACATTCTATTTCTTCTCATATCTTTCTAGCTTTTTACACACAGAAAGAACATAATGCTAGACAACTGGAAGAAAAAAGTTACCAATCATCCAAACCAAAATATTTGGAAAATCAAGGCAATTAAAACAAGTAAACAGAAAGACAAGTCTTGAAGCTGTCATAGCCATATATCATATTTGAGTCCAGACAGCACATATAACTGGCCTCAGATACAACAACAGAGTTGACTGAAATGTAATTAGATACTGCCAATGAAAACACCATGAAAACATGACTCAAAAGGATGGACTCAGTTCTAAATATCTCTTTTGATGCAAGACAAAATTGCACACTGAAAAAAAAATTTCATAGTCATACAGGACCACTCTTTTTAAGTAGTAGCATAGAAAAAGAAGTAACAATTTACTACAAAGATTGGACTTCAGAGGCATTCATCCTCAGGATGCCAGGGGACAACTTAAGAGTTAACCTGTAAAATTCTCTATAAAAAAATTATTCATCTTTATCTGGCTTGCCAGCTACAGAACTAGGGCTTTCCACAACCACAGCAGAAGCAAAGGCTTCTCCTTTGGAAAAGCATTTACCCAGTAAAACTAAATGCCATTAGAAACATTCACTGCACATATAGCAGTCTCACCTGTGGTATGTTTTGAAATAGTTAACACTTTGTTTTCTGATAGATTCTTGCAAAACTTCAGACTTACTGCCACAAAATTCCTCTCCAACTTGCATCAGCCTATAGTAATAAAACAAAGTTTAGAAATATTTATTGATTTCTTAATACTGCTGTTCCAACCATGAGTGTACAACATGTATCTCCATAAAAGCAGAGCACCAGTGTTCCACTGCAATGCCAGGGCTGCATTCCACAAAAGCCCATGTCTGATTTCCCTCTAAATCTTATCATTATGTTCCATACACATAGAGACAAAGAGCCATAAGCAAAATAGATGTTTTTTTGAGATCCCACTATGCAGGGCATGCTGTCAGCTCACAGTCTCAATCTGTCATTTTTTTGCCAAAACTGAAAGATATAATATTGTAAAGGTTGGCAGTACCACAGTATTTTTCTGCTCTTGACTGAGAGTCCCTTTAAAATCTGTTAGAAACAAAATTGCTAGACCCACACATCTCAAATCTTAAAGGCAGACAATACTGAAATCACATCACACATTTAAGCACTACTTGAGCAGCAAAGTAATTCATGCTATCTCTCCCAAATACATCCTCATAAACTCCCACATAAAGAAGAATTGCTCTTCAAGCTCAGCACATATGACTGAAGCCAAAATGTTAATATCAGCCTTAATATACTGTGCTATCTTATCAGAGTGGGCGTGTATTAAATGGTCTTACGACCACATCAGTATACCTGCTGATAACATCAAGTACAAATATGAAGTCGTCATATTTGAAGTTAGACAGATCCGTTCCCAGAAGATATGTTTTCACTTTCAATTGAACATCCTACAAAACACAAACAAGTTTTTGTACACCTAATACACTAAAGACAAAAAGTGAAGGCTCAGATGCCTGGTTCATTAGCGCTTTTTGGTTGCTTGCACTTACAACTTCTATTTTTGAGATTTAGAGTAGAACTCCATTTTCTTTAACAGGGATGATTTCTCTAAAGTAATTTTATAATCAGTTTCTTTAACACTCTATAAGGTCAATCATAGATGCTTTATTATCAGTGCAAAAGCAGAGCTCAGGATTACAGCTTTTTCATCATACATCTGGGTGTCACTGCACATCAAACTGATCCAGTGGTCAGATCAGGAATACTGTGAAACCAGGCAGGTTCACAAGACTCCAAGTTCTCCATAGCTCTGGTTATACCAGAAATATAAAGCAGTATGACTGTGCTAACACAGAAAAGCACATGAAAAGAAAATAGATAGTGGGGCAGCACACACAGGTTGTGAGAAATGGAATCAAACTGAAGTCTTGTTACTATATCTTGGTATCTTGACTGAATTTGTAAGCATAGCAACCAAGTAGTAACTGAGTCACAGAAATTATTTTTCAATGGTATTGATATATTCAAATCAAACCAAATCACTTTTAAAAAAATCCTTGGAGATATTTCTTTAAGAAGATTAGTATAAATATAACTGTAATTAATAATGGGGGGTGGGAGAAGGGAGGGAACAAATATTTAGTGGGTAAAAAGAGTCAAAAAACATACCTGCCATATTCGTGAAAGCCCATGTTCTAATTTCTTTTTCACATAGTTGCGGTCAAAACTGTTCTCTTCAGTTCCCATCACAGTGTTGCCATCTGAAACTTAAGGTGAAAGGCACTGTACATAGTTCCAAAAGCTTTGAAATGTATCTTATTTTCCTACCCATAATGAAACTTTTCCTTTAGCTATTGCCATATTATCCATTATGCAAACTCCAGGGGACCTACTTTGCTCTAAACTTTCGAATGGAAATGAATAATGCACATGTAAGTATTATATGCTAATGCAAACCAGGAAAGCTTGTGATGGCTTTTATGTGAGAAAGATATCCCATTAAACAAATTAAGACAAGAGCAACATATACTGATATTTCAAATAAAAAAAGTTAAATGCTTAAGTGAGCACTGCTTATCCTCTACAACAAGATTCTCTAAGACATTCTACCTTCGTAGACAAGAATCATGAACTTAAAAGTTTCAGAAGCAAGATTTTTAACTTTATGCCACAGCAAATTCTTACTGCAACTCCAAGGAAAAATACTGGAATTTTTCCATGAACTATGCAAACGATATGGCATCTTCTTTCCTTTTCCCCATACTAATCTATGCTTGTGTATGAAATGTCAATCATACAACCACTCCCACAGCACTGCATCACTTTCCAAGAAAGCACTGTAATGCATGGTAAACTGCTCCTGCATGTGCTCCCCCTCTCCCCATGGAGGAAATAGATTTTATTTCCATTTTCAGAAAGAAGAGATAATATTTTATATGCAGTTTGTGAGCCTATAGTAGTAGTTATCCCTGCAGTCAGTGATGGCACAGTGTCATACAGTTTGCTTCACAGCCTATGACTGACCACAGGAAAGCTCAGGTTTAGCCAGGCTATACAGACAAATGATAACTCTGCTTCCCTGACAAGGAGAAAAGCTATACATGTCCTCAAAAGCCTGAACCATTTAGTGATTTGACATGAAAAATAAAAAAATCCCATAAAATAACACACTGGAATATTACACAGCATACAGTCCTCCTTCCATTCTATCATTCAAGAGGCTGCAAACACAGAAGAATTAGGATTGCCTGTAGTACCCTAGCATTGCTGTGCAGCTCAGACCAGTCTTTCCATACCTTCTGCAACCTGCAGCTAGTTTTCAGTCCCTTGCTCCTGGCCCAGCTGGTCACATCTCTCTACCTCCACACAAAGGCTCCCAACTCAAAGAGATTTCTTTCCCTTACTCCTGATCCCAGCATCTCCTCTCAGAATACTAAGAATACTTGAGCCCTAAACTATCACTTTGCACACATATTAGGAATTCTCCTCCCCTCTGCCTAGGAGTCACAGGAACAGGCAGCACAAAGCCCAGATCCTATAGGTGTGCAGAGAAGGACCTGGAGAAAACTAAATAAACAGGTAAATGAAAGCAGTTGTTTATGATATCGTGGGAAAGACAGTTACTATCTACAATTTGAGTTTACTTGGAGATAAAAAGGACATGTCTAACAGACTAGGGCATGTCTAACATTCTTGCCTTAGATTATATTCCTGAAAGATAGACTCTTTTTTAACGTCAGACTTCACAGCCAGGTAGATACTACACTGCTACAATGAAGACAGGAAGGCAAAGGAAAGAGTAGAATTTTTAACAGCTCCTCAATGACCTGCAGTAATGTATTGGTCAGCCCTAACTTGCAGAACACTTTATGTGGAATAAATAAACACTAAAAAAATAATAACATTTTATTTCTAGCATCAACAGGGAATTCAGAAGCAATCCAAGGTCACCAGGGAGACAGCACTAAGGTCGTGTAGCCTTTTCAGCAGTTAAACTGCGTGATGCTACCAGATGCCTCAGGTGCAGCTCCAGAAGCTTTTCATTCATGAGCTGACCTCATCAATGCAGGGACAGGATTTCGTGTGGTCATTCAAAACTTGTAAGGACAAAAATGTCACCTGCATACCAAATACCCATCACAGCAGTGTTATTTAGACAGTAATGTGCTACTAGGACCACAGTGAGAGCTAATCCTGACTGACCGTTGCAGTTCTTCATTACCAGGCTTCACAGCTTTTTCCAGAAAAGCTCTTGGCTTAGTTTCACTTTCCTCAGAGGAAAGAGCAATTTTTCATGTCTAATTGCAAAAGAGTCCACAAACATAAAAAACCTACTGTCCTCCATCTGTCAGCACTAAGAAATTTTTGTCAACAACTTGTCAAGCCTTGCCCTGAATTCAGACCTTGCAGTCTAGATGAGTATCATGTAAATACTGTGAGCACTCTACTAATGAGCCAAGTAAGGAATGGGAGGCCAGACACAAGACTTTGATCAGTGTTTTCAGATGTGTGCAGAACAGATCTCCACGGCATTATCTGGACTACCACATATTTAAGAGAAGGAAGGAAAAGCATCCAGTGACAGGAATGGTTATGACTGGTATCAGACACTGACAATTCAACTAAACCGAAATACAAAAGAGCACAGCAGTCTGACCATGTTCTGATCACGTCTTCTTCAGATCATCCAGTACTCACTGTCAAGTGAGTCGAGTTTCCTTCTCTAACTATCACTAATCATAAATAGCACTTAACAGTGTTTCATACTCCCAGTCTTAGGCCAGACTCTGTGTAAGTAGAAGAGCATGATATACATTTTTTCCCCCTCAACCATCTGGTTTCTGCTTTGAACCCTTCCAGAGTATGTTTCTCAGAACAAGAACTGTTACCTATTATATGAATGTTTTTTATATAACATATAAGCATAACAAGAATAACAAAAATATGAAATCTTCAACATCTGTAACTCCATTTAAATTTAAAAAAATGTGTGGAATATGAATACTGAGAAGGATGCTGGCCTTGCTTAATTTCTTTCAGACAGAGCTATGGGTGTATTTGGACATGTTATTAAATTATGAACTTTATCAAACACTGAGAAAGTTTCAACTGCAAGCCAGGGACCATGGTATGAACACTATCAAGAAGAACTGTCTACCCAATATGTCTGCCTAGGAGGCTAGAACTCAAGAATACAGAACTAGTGTAATAGTGTAATAGTGTAACTAGCCAGAATGTAAAAGCTCTGGTACTGTCAACTGAATAACTCCTCATCAGAATTAAAAACATAACAAAATACGGTCTGGAATTTGGGCTTATATTAGGGACAAATATTTGTTTCTTCCAAGGCTGCAAAGCTATATTCAACTTTTTCCTCTTTAAAGTCACTGAGACTGCTTTTGCAGATTAACAGAGAATTTACCCTAATTACTCAAAATGAGATGATAAAAGGCTGCTTGATATGCAAACAAGACCCAAACATAATTCCACACTATATCTATTTTTGCAGGGCACTTAAAAAAATTTTTCCTTGTGAAAGAAAAATCATAAAACAAATATTAGTCTCCTAAATATGTTCATCTTCTGAAAGTAATAATTCTGACAAATGCATTTTCATAAGTGATTTACACGGAAGATTAAACAAAATATAAACAGAAAGAATAAGCCAACCAGAAAAACTCTAAGTGGATTTACCATTTCTCAGACTATACAAGGAAACAAACCCAGCTATCTGAGCCACAGCACGCTCTTTGTATGATTCTGTGACCTCCTCTGTTCTAAACTTCTGCAGATTGAGGCCACTCCTAAAAGAGTCAGTGTCTTTGACATATTCTCTAGATTAAGACCATAGTCCTTGTACTCATAAACTGCTATTCATGAAGGAATGGTTGGACAGACATTGTCATATAAATGCTATTGTTCAGTGAAAAATCCATGCAACATTCTCTCTGTCAATCTCCCGGTGCTCACATGGTTTATGGACAGTCATGCTACAAGGTCTTGTTTCCAGTCTTTTAATGAACTGTACTGCAGCTAATTTCACACATCCAAACATATTAATTTAGGATAATTTCCTTGAAAATCAAGTATGGGACAAAGGTCCACAAGCATTTATACTTTTTGCTTTGAAGAATTTGTAACATGTAGCAGAGCACCCAAGGAGTTATTCTTCTAGATGCCTGATTTAAATACAGTAATTCTTCAGGTTTTTCAATATTTCTCAAAAACTCATAAAAGCAGCCTTCAATCATAACAAAAGGTTTTTGTTTAATCCTTGCTGGACAGAGGAAAGGGAAAAAAACCCCACCAAAATCAATCGCATCTCTGTCCTCTAGCCTCACTTTTTCACTCTCTGAATAGCAAGCAGATCTTGCAGAGAATTTACGCAGTACTATAAATGAAAATTTTTGAAAATTAAAATGGTTGACATTCGATTTACATCTTGCATCATTTTCTTCTTGCTTTTCTCTGAATCTATTATAGATATTAGAGTTATTACCAAGGATTACACCAACTGTAATCCTTTTACCACTAGGATTACACTTGTGAAATCAGTAAATGCTACAAGTGATCATTTTACTGCCCCCTTTCGTTCTTCTGTTAAATCCTTGTTGCATAAATACAAGTAAATTACATCAAAGTCACAGTAAATTTTATGGTATGTGAAAATCCAACTTAACCAGACAAGGCCTCGCACAAACCAATGCAACTTCGAACTTCACTTTGCTTAGAGCAGGGAAGATAAAAATGACCTTTCGATAATCCAAGCAGGACTTCTTTTGGATAAGCTTCAGTATTAAAATAGAAAGAGCTATGTAAATCATGCCATCGAAGTCCAGCTTCTCACTTCTACAGCTGTCTTTGTGCCCTTGACACACTTCAGGTACTTTCTTAGAGTGTTGACATCAACTGGTACAATGACAGAAAAATACCAGGACAGCCTCGAGTTCTCAAAATGATAAAAGGCAGACAAACACACAACACTGAAGCCTGCTACTTCTATTGCTTCAGTCTATGGGGAAACAATTTTAGTATAATGTCCTGAACTGCCTCCCTGTTTCTTTCTCACATACATGCCCTTTCTACAGGAATTTTACTTTTTGGCTTTTGCACATATCACAGCCATTAAACTAGTAAGTATGGAATGAGAATTCCATGTATGGGTTTAGTAATTACTGCAGCATGAGCAATAAGTTTTAGAGAAAACCTTTAGTAGATATTTATAGTCCCTCTGAAATTGTACTTGCAAAATTCCCTCTGTGTGCTTTATCATTGCAGAGGTATTTGAAAAAGTGATTCACTAGATCAACTATATTCCAGTTGTACATTACAGCTAAGCCACATCTCCAGAACCTCAAAAACTAAGAGACAGAAGATTAGTAGTAAACATACCAAAACGCTCTGGCATGCATGTAAAAAGCAATGAATTTAAAATTACTCATATGACTGTATATACCACTTCATTAGGCTTAATGGTTCCTGTAAAAGGCTTTGTAGTGCAGGTTATTTTCTTTCTTCAGGATATCGCAAGGAACGACATTAAGGGGAACTAGTTTTGGAAGTGCATCTGTGGCTGAATAAGTTGTCAACTGTGATAATGTTTCCATGCAATAAATACCTGCTTGATTTTACAACACACAATAGGGGAAGGACATGTCCCCTAAGAATCGTTTAAAATAAATGCATTTATATCTACAAGACTGGCACATACAAATATTCATTAAAAAATGAACCTTATACTGAAGAGTGCAAAAATCCAGTGAGTATTTCAGTTCTTCCTGCACTCTATCAGCAGTAAGGCTGAAGGCACCGAGTCAAGACCACAAAGATATAGCACAAGAAAAGTTACATCCAAATATCAGAAGTTTTGTTTCCAGAAGTTTCTTACCAGAAGACACAACTGCTGCCTCATCTTGGTCATGGTTCTCATGCCACTGCATCGTTCGGTAGTAACTGAGCATGACTTCCCAGAGGGCTTTGCAGAGATCAGCCAGGCATGGAATGTAGCTGTCTGATGTAATATGCTACAGAAAAACAAAATAACATTGTGAAACTTCAAAAGTGTGTTTGTTTTTTACAGTGGCAACACAAACCATACAAACCCTTCCATATTCATACAGCTGAGGTGCTTGATATATATCCGTTTCATTTTCAAATGTATTTGAGAGGTGACAAATTCCTAATTTTAGTCAATTAATCAAATACTGTCCAAAAGTGCAAAGTTTATTTGTTAGCACTTTTCTCAGTTGGCCCATATGTTAAACACCTCTGACATTTATGGAACAATGAAGCAGATACAGAGGTAAAGCCATGAAGTCTAATGATCAGCACATCTCATTGTCAAAGAGGGATGCAGACACCCATGACATGCAGACACTGCATCTTTTCAATGATGCAGATTCTTGTACTTCAGTAGTACATAGAAGCCATCCTGGTTAGTAGCCCATTGGGTTGAATGACGTATAAAGAAGTAGTTTAAAAGCAAACAAACTTAGATGGTAGCTGCCCTACTTCCCTGAATCACCCCGCTCCAAAGAGTCAACTACGATTTCAGATACTCTTTAGGCGAAGAGTATAAATTTTATCAGAGAGCCAGATACACAGAAGAAATAACTAAGATGAGATTGTCAGGAAAAAGGATGACTTTGAGAAGGGGTCTTGCTGGATTAAAAAAAAACTGCAAAATATATTGTTCATTGGAGTGGCAATGCTACGCCACCCTTGTCTCAGTCACTGTGAAGCAGTGTCACAACTTATAGACAAGGGTAAAGTCCAGCTGCATAGATACGATTTTAATTACATTGTTATTTAAAGTTTCTCATAGAAGTCTGGAAATTAGCACTTCCAACTAACACTGCTCTAGAAAAGAGATCATGTTTTCCAATAGCTACGTCAGTGTCCACAGCTGGCTTCTGCAAGGCTAATTAGCTTTTACCAACTGGGTACTGTGAGCCTGCTAACCCAAATACGTATATCCATGATGGTACAAAAGTTTTGACATTAGTTACAAGGAAACTCTTCAAAAATATGAACTGCTTCTGCAACAGGGTGTCAGCATAATCACCAAAAGAATCAACCATGGATTCCATAGAGAGCAAACCTTTAATTAAGGCAATCAATTCCCTCAACTGCATCCTCATCCACTGATCTCACCGAGGCTTTCAAAACATGGTGTGTCCTTCTCAAGAATTGTAACATCACTAATCATCTTCAGTACATTTGTTGGAGAATAAACATTACACTGAACAGATTTCCTATACTCCTCCTATTTTTCAGCTTTCAAGTAAAAAAAAAATATAAACCGCACATCTTTATTTTCTATTTAATCATGTTCTCGTTTCCCAAGCTTAAATAATGTTCCTGGCAGTAGGACATACCGCTCAAGCCATATTTGCCTAAATTCCACTTATGATTAAGGACTCACAGAAACTGCTCTTCAGCATTAACAGATGTCACTAGCAAAAGCATCTGGAGACTTCATGTTAATAATCATGTCCTTTCATTATGCTTGTTTGGGTTTTTTTAAACTGAACTATTATCTTGGTTCTGTACCCTACCAAATCAGAGCTTCCTCAAGGATATAAATTAGGCATCCTGAACATATCGACAAAAAAAAGAAAAAAAGTCATGTTCTTGGTACATAAAAATTCTAACAATTGAGACAACTACTTTTTTCTAAAACACCCCTTAACTGAAGAGTTGATATACTTTAGTGACTGCATTATTGAGACATTTTAATCTCAGATACTATAGGCCTTTACTAACAATTGAACAAAACAAGGTAATAAGTTTATTATTCAAACAGTAAATTGTCCTGCCAATTCACCCACTGCTTCAGCCATTTTCTCTGCCAATTCATCAGAAATGTTACTCTTACTGTATTTCATGGTGTTTAGTAGCTATAAAATCTAAACCTTGCTTATGCAGATCATTATACTTGAAGATATACTGGCCTTCAGGTGGCCAGGAAGAAAGTATCACTTACTAATACCAAGTTAATTCCATTTAGACTAAGGAAACGAACAACTGAATTTCTTTGGACTTATATTCTCTGAATATAGAAATTCAAAACTTGAAAGTGAAGCAGCCAAACTCTGCCCTGCTCCAGTAGTATTCTAAAAGTGAAAAGATGTAAAAGCTAGAGCACAGCACGTTGCTAGGAAAAGAAAGAGTCAACAAGGAAATAGTGAGTCTGAGTGCACAAGTACATAACTTGCATAAGTGCTTAAAAATTTCTGAAAATATTATTCTTCTAAAAAAACTCACATTATTATAATATCCAGTATCTGAAGAAACAAACAAAACAAAGAAAAAAAGCCACTATAGCCCCCCACTACCCATATAAAATAGAAATGAGCTAAATGAGTTCATTGTGACAGATTTTTAGAAACACGCAACAGGAGATCTGTCCAAAAAGGAATACTTCAATTTTATATGACTTCCATTGTTTAATTAGAGGAAGTACTCCATAATCACTTATATGTTAAGAGCATCCTGGCTTAACAGCATAGATAGCCTGAAGAGGGTTCTCACTAGAACTAAACAAAGAAAAAGAAAGCTCATATTTTAGTCTTGAACAATTTATTCCTCCAAAACAAAATGCAAGAGATAAAAATCTGCTAGTGTTTTTGCTGCAGGAAGTTAGAAATTTAATTGCTATGACAGTCCAGCTTATTCAGCATTCTGATTTCACAAATGCACTGCAACGGGTAACAACCAACACTGAGCAGCATGGTTTGTAAGAGATCAAAACTTCCCATCTGCAGCCTGTCCCTAAATACCTAATTGTTACCAAGAGAGTAATGAAAAAAATAAAAAACTAAATTACAAGCAAATTACAGCAGTATTCATAGTACATTACAGTCCCAAAGTCTCAGTACCTTCCTTTATACAGACTGCCAGATTCCAGTTATTGCAGGCTCACATAACTTAAGCATCATCTCATTAAGGTTTTGCATAAGTAAAACCAAATAGAAATAGAGGTAATAATTTTGTAACCATGCAGTTAAAGCCACTCTCTTCCTGTGTATTACAAAATGTGATATTTCCAAGTATCTAAAAGATTCCTCTGCACTGTAAAGAATAAGGATCAACAGCAGCACACAACTTGTATTTAGAAGTTGTCAGAAGCAGCTCAGTAGTACTATTTGTAAATGTAAATAAATGGGCTTAGTATCACTAGCATTAACAAAGAATGAGAAATAAACTAAAGGACATACATAAGTATAAAGCAAAAATAAATTTAGACAAAAAGTGCATTAGAAAGTAAAAAATGAAAATAAAACCACACTCTGAAGACTTATAGCAGAAAGATGAAAGGGCTGCAGTCTAGAGAACAGAGATCAGGGTTTGCTGACTTTCTTCAGCTAGAATTCATCTCAGTGAAGTGTGAATTCCACCCATCTGGAACCTTTCTCATTCTGTTCATTAATACTTATGTCAATTATTCCCAATAAATTATTTTTTCATATCACACTTCCATTCATGTGAAGGTCCTTAGATTATGTAAGCTTTCAAAGTCAAAGGGGCACCTCTTTAAAATTAGATGGCTTTCAATGTCGATGTGTTTACTAGTTGAAGCTACATGATTCCAGGAGATATGAGAAGTGAAAGAGCAGAAAATGGATTCGAGTATGAACTTTAATCTTCTTAGGATTGTACTTTAATAAATTGCAACTGACAGGATGGGTCCATGAGTTGATGAAGTATAATAAGGATTTAGCCTGTGACTGAAACAAACATCCTACAGAACATTCAAGATAGAAATATAATTTCAAATTTTAAATCAATGTTAGAACCACCTAAAATATCTAACATTCTTCCTCACCAACACTGAAGTTTAAGCAAATTTCTCAGGGTGTAACAGTAAAATCGCAAGTGAAAAAACTAAAGAGTGAACTAAAAATGCTACTCAAAATACAGTAATTCATTCTAATAACATTTAAAAAAATAAACAAAATACAGATGTGGAAGAAACTGCACCTAAAATTTGTACTAGAGGGAAATATATGGTTATTCCCAGTGAACGTTTTCCCTATTATCCAGCTTTTACATCTCAATATCACAGCTGTTCCTTACCTTGATATCAAAAACACAATGAAACTGATACAAAGTCATTTGGGAAGACTCTAAGTTAGCATCTTTACAAGAATCCTTACTGAAATGCAGTATTATAGAAATTGTGAATACTACTTAAATGCACTAGAATAGAGTTCAAAGTTAATAATTATGCAAATAACTAGCATATTATACCGAAGACATGGGAGTTTTGAAATGTTGGTCTTCTGTTTGTATCCTATAATTTACTTTGTATTTAGATGGAGTGCACAGTAAGTTTAAAGTGTTAAGATTTAGTGCAATCAAAATCAGCATTAAGCTGTGAATAATAAATCTCTCAGTTAGCCTATAAGTTGTACTGATAAACTATAGTAGCTGCAGAGTTATTTTCATAACTGAGTCCCTACTGACATAAGGTACACTTACAACAGTGGAAAAATTCAGATTAAAAAATATACATATATACAAGAATTACATACTGTACAGAGGTCTTTGTACTGTAACTTCTGAAACTTGGTGTCTGTGTTTCCTGCACACAGCTCCACATATCCAAGGACTACTTGAAACACGGTGTTGTGGATGGCTTGAGTGAAGTGCATATGTAACTGGTCCATTGCTGTCTGAAAGAAATGGAGTGACATAAAATCAAATAAAAAGTTCAATTTGTCATATGTCATAATCTTTAAGCCATCACCCTTTAAGGTAAGTTTTTTTCAGTTCTGAACAGAAGAAACTGTAAGCAGTATGGCATTCAATCTTTGTCTCAAGAATACCTAACACAGAACCTGATAATACTACAATCCATCCTCCCTCTACAATTCACTGGTTTTTTTACATTAACATGAGTAAATATTAATTATACACCTATATAATATGGCTAATCATTCTTTTACTCTCTCAATCACTGATTTTGTGTCAAAAAGAAATTAGTTGAGATCTGTGCTCTTTCTCCCACTAGAAACACTTCCAACTAAAATAAAAATATTTCCTTTGCAATTATTAAAACTAAAACCACAATTACAAAGTCTTCAATCCATCCACTTGCCAAACTAAAGAATATAAAGTAGCATTAAGTGTTACAGAAAGGCATGTTCATCATATCAATAAATTTCCTATAAAACTCCTCCTTGTTACAGAAAAAAAGACATTTGTTTAAAAATAGATTACTTTTTCCAGAAAAAGATATAACAGTACATGTACTAGGGACTAATGATGGCATAAAATATTAATTTTACCACAATCATGCCTGAGTTTCAGGTCAGGATGTTTCCTTAGTTTTCATGTTGTTAATAGACTGTACATAACATTAGTCCATTTCAGAAATGGAATTTTCTCACTGTTTCATGATATGCAAATAATCAGCATATGGTGTATATAGGAACCAATAAAAAATATCTTTCAAATGCCAGAATGAAGTTATCAGATCCTGCAGATTTGAAAATGTTTACTTTCACTACTTTCTATTTGACATTTTTAGCTACTGACAAGAGCTGAGAACTCAATCATCCCATAAGAAATGAAAAACCAATTCTGCTTAAATCCTATTGCAAACAACCAATCTTCTACAGCTAGTCCTAACTTGAATCAGTCAAAGAAAACAAAATGACAAATGAAATATGAGAATTACTGAATATACTGAAGGTTATTGACATTTTGTTTTCTGAGAAGGGGTCAAAATGGGAGATATTTCAGTAACAATGCAACTAAATTATATTTAGGACAAGTTCAAAATACCTACTTTAAAAGTAATAAAAAGAATGTCAAAGCCAAGTCACTTTATCATGAGAACAAAGCAGGCAAAACCATGCAGCAACAAATAACACTTTTATTTTGTTCAGAAACTTCATTCCTCTGACAAACAATCTGCCTTTCTCAACATATCATGCACTTGACTTCGGAGCAGTGAATGCATTATATCTACTTTCGTTCAGTAAATAAAGAAATCACATACAATGCACTAACAAAGGAAAAGCCTAATTAATCTTCTCCCCTGGTTTTAAGTTGCAGACTCCAGGCACTCTAATAATTCTGCACATTAACGAAGTATGGGAAGATAAATCCATTTCTATCCTATTGCAGAGTTACACTGTTATCACTGTCGAGCCATGAAAAAAAGAATCCAACTTTGCTAGAAAGGTTCTAATTAGAAAGAAAGAAACAAACAAAAATGAAACCAAACCCAAAAAAGCCAATCTACTAACAGATATAATTCTGAAATCTGGAAATACCATTAAAAAACCCAAGCATTAAAAAGAACAAATGGGGACAGGCACTTTGACGTGACTTGTAGCAACTAAACTGTTCTGAAGGAACCTCTTCTCCAAGCAAATCATCACTACTACACTGGCACCACCATGCTCTGCCTCAGTGTGTTATGAACACTGATCACTGACAAAACATGCCTCCAGGATTTTCTTGTTTCTTTATCCCTCTTTACTTCACAGGACCTTGGTATTAGCTCCCATACTTCATACCTGCTTCAGAAGGAAACTGGTTCACCACCTTCCCAGAGAAACCATATGAAGCCTCAAGGCAGTGCACCAGCACTTACATCCTACAGGAGAGCTTAGATCTACTATTTACACAAAAATATGCTCTAGGCATGCAGAGATGTAACTTTTAGGACATATCCACAGTGTATGTTTGAACACATATCAATGTTCAGGGTCAGGCTGGATAAGGCCCTGAGTAACCTGTCTAGTGGGAGGTGTCCCTGTCCACGGCACAGGGGGTAGGACTAAATGATCTTTAAGGTCCTTTACAACTCTTAACATTCTATGATTTTTTTTTATGCCTTGAGACATACTGTATTGCAAAAAACTATCTCCTCACCTCTTCATTCCTGTTGTGTTACAGTACAATATAAAATGGAAACACACAGGTCAGGTACAGGTTGTGCACAACTTTGTGACACAGATCTAGCTATTGGAAAATATTATTCACATGCTCAAAATCAATTAATAATGCAAACAGCATTATAAACAGAGCTGAAATATGGAACTGTTACGTATGCTATGTGTTGGAGTAATACTCAGTTTACCTTTACCAAGTACTGTTAAATTATCCAAGCATTATAAAAGCCTTTGAATACCTGGTAAGATTCATAAGCATTAGTGTGCTGATTTTAGCTGGAATAGAGTTCATTTTCTCCATAGTAGCTGGTATGGGGCTATGTTTTGGATTTGTGCTGGAAACAATGTTGATAATTCAGGGATGTTTTAGCTATTGCTGAGCTGTTGCTTACACTGAGTCAAGGCCTTTCCTATTCTTCATCCCACCCCACCAGAGGGTGGGGGTGCACTAGTTGCTGGGAGGGGACATAGCTTGGACAGCTGACCCTAACATGTTCCATAACATGTGGCATCATGCTCAGTAATAAAAGCTGGGGGAAGAAGAAGGAAGGGGGGAATGTTCAGAGTGATGAAGTTTGCCTTCACAAGTCACTGTTACACATGATGGAGCCGTGCTCTCCTGGAGATGGCTGAACACCTGCCTGTCCATGGGAAGTGTTGAATGAATTCCTCATTTTGCTTTGATTGTGTGCACAGCTTTTGCTTCCCCTATTAAATGGTCTTTATCTCAGACCACAAGTTTTCTCACTGTTATCCAATTCTGTCCCCCATCCCACTGAAGGGGAGAGAGTGAGTGGCTGTGTGGGTCTTAGCTGCCAGTTGGGACTAATTAGGAAAATAAATTTCCATCACAGTACTCAAAGTTCCATGCTGTTACATGACTGTTCTTTGTAACTTACTCAGAAGATGAGTACTAACCTGTGTTTTTCCAAGCAGCCTGTAAGCCTGCTGAACCTTTGTATAATGATTGATATCAAAATTCTTGCATATTTTGGAAAGTGCTACGTCCAATTGTTCCTATATGAATGAAAGAAAAGACTGTTAAACATTAGATAAAAACAGGCCAAGTAATACATTACTTAAATGACAGCAAAAGAGGAAGACATTTACTTAAACAGTCTGATAATTATGTTTGTAAGCTAGCCAAGATTGTACACAATCGGACTATTCTGAGATGCTTAAATGTTACTTCTTGAGCATAAGTATTTCAGCCTGAACTTTCTATCAGCCAATGAATTCCACTATTTCCAAGAACAAGCACAGTAAAAAGTACATTATTTCACTGAAGTCAAATTCAAAGCGATACTGAGAAGGCCTAGCACCCCAACATGGGAGAGCTGGGATTTCTAACTCAGTCTAACTGAAGGAAATATAACAAAGTTCTAATTTTACAGGGAATTTAATAACAAGGTACAATAATACATGCACCAATCTGACTTTTTAAAGAGCACATAACCACAGGTGTAGAGAGCTGCTGGAATAGCTAATTCAAGTTCCTGCTAAGCATTACATGCGTATGCATTACATGCACTACATACACATTATATATATCTACGTTACCAGACTTCTTACAAAAAGCTCACCAAGTTCCAGCTCAAAATTACCTAACAGTGGAGTTAAAAGAATTCCTTTTTTTCACCACCAATTTCCAGCAAGACACTTACCATGTTATATTAATTTGCTTTTGTGATACTATCTAACTTAAAACTGGTCTTTGTTCCATCCTTCACAATTATTTAAGTCTTACTTCCTCTGGCTTAGCACTGGCCCTATCCAGCAGTTTGCTGACCTCTAAAATTTCCAGTGATACTGTGATCTCTTGTGTAGCTTATCCAAACCTAATGGTTTGCTGCTGATTTACTTTTCACAACTATTTACAAGTAGTCTAAAGAACTCACAGAAGTTCGGTACTTCAAATGTTATTTGACTTTTTAATTTGACTTCTCTACCACTTACAGTGGGCACAACTAGTGAACTGGGCTCGTAAGTATGACAACATATTACAGAGCATTTAGATTAATTGCATCACAAAAGTTTACATGAACAGCACTGCCCATAGCATTCCAAAGAGAGTAATTGAAAGAAATGTGCACATTCTGTAATTGCTAACAACGTTGTATTGGAAAGCTCTAGTACTTTAGAGGTTAATTACTAACATATACTTAGAGGTTAAATATTAAAATATACTAAACATCAATATATCAACTTTTACCTCTATTTGTTCCAAGGTGTCTTGCAGTTTTGAATTTAACTCACTATTAATGAAAGAAGAAAATGTTTAAAATAAAATTACTGATTACATTAATATTTCAGACCAAGTTCCTTATTTCCAAAAACACGTTTGCCTGCTACCAAGCCACAATATAGTAATTTATCATAAACCATTTAAGCTGCTGTTACTGTGTCAGACTAGCACCATCTCACCACTGTTATTATTGAAAGGTATCTACTTCAGGCATATGCAGCATTCTTAATGTTTCAAATTAAGGTATTTGTTGCAGCAGCACATAACCCTAGGTTTACAACACAACACTGTTAAGATGGCCCAGATAAGGTCCCATCCTGCTAGGGTTTAACTAAGTATTCAAAGACATTTCCAACTCCCAATTCATGCTTTAAATGTTTTGGTTTGGTGCTGTGGTCTAAAGCAGAGCATACCCAGAAAGGTCAAGGCTATCAGGCCTTTGTAAACTATAGTAACTTTTCTTTGTTGCTCGGGAACGTGTTACAGAAATGCTATAAAAGAACTCAAGCTTACAAAACTCTCAGAAAAATTTTTAAACACCATTATTTCAATTCTCTGAGCTATACTTGGTATAAAAAGATTAACAAAAATTAGCTACCATAAGAGACACTCCTTAGAACAATGAAAGGCACCGCTGCACCTTTGCAACAATCAGGTTTAAAAATTTTAGTACGCCGGCCAGAAAAATAAGACACAAAACATGACTACAATGTTTTTGTTCAGAAGGGTCAAAGCAACACAGAAATAGGCAGGATATTCTCTTCATACATGGAAAGCACAGTTTTCATTAAATAATCACCATACCTGATTTTAAACAACTTCCTTCTGTGCTCTGAATCCTCCCCTAAGGGGCCTATGTTAATTATCAAAAGATTCTAGCTTCCCTACTTAGTTCTGTAGCTTAAAGATTATGCCCATCACCCTCCTTTTTTGGTTCCATTAGATAAACTGGACACAACATCCTCCAAAGAAAGGTTTAAATGGAAAAAAACTGCATCAAAAAAAGCTGGCATTAAAAACCAGAGTAGAAAATACTTCCTTATTGTTTCTCCACATGCAACAAGCCTTCAAACAGAAAAGCCTCCACAACAATTTGATGTTACTACATCTCCTGCTGGAGTTCATGAGCATTTCCTGCTTATTTTTTTTCTTTTTAAAAGTATGGAAACATCAAGTCTTTATAAGTTAGGAACTGCAGATATTTGGATTAGTTCCAGTTCTGAAAGCAATTTCTTCATGTCAGCATGAAATTCTGCACTTGCTAATTTCAGTGCCAAGAATTAGGGTAGGTTATCCTCCAGAGGCCATCTTGCTGTAGGTAAATTAATTCCAGAATATAAACTTGCTTATTAAAAAATCAGCTCAGGTATCCCTAGGCTGCATGTTGTAGCACACTTATAATTCAGTCTTAGTTGAAACTTTACCTGCCAACATATTACAACAGTTACAAAACAATGATATAGTCCAAACACAGATTATAGATTGTGAAGACTGGTTAGTAGTGGTACCAGAAAGCAGGAAATTACAGTGGATACTTAGGTTTTTATAACTGACTCAATTTTACTTTTCTAAGAAGAAAATAACATTTCCATCAAACCTTCTTTAAAGAAGAAGAATTAATGGTCACTGTTTCATACATTGAGACTGGATGTGGCACTTAGTGCCATGGTCTAGTAACCATGGTGCTGTTGGATCAAGGCTTGGACTTGATGATCTCGGAGGTCTTTTCCAACCCAGTTGATTCTATGATTCTATACAATTTACAAATAAAATCATAGAGAAGCTAAAATCTGCACAATGTTACCTTACCTTATACAACTGTAGTGTTTGAAGGTGCTGGCAGCTTTCTGGCATTCTAAGCACAGCTGAATAGCTCCTGGATAATCCTCTTCCTTAGGATAAAATACAATTGAAAGCTCATTTGAAGCAACAGTACAACACCCATTTTTACTTGCATGCTTACAAATTAACATTAAGAATAAAATATTTTGCCTCATGTCTATACAGTAAAGTTAAAGGAAAAGAGTGAGGGTCTACTGCAGCACTTAATGTGCAAGTAGTTTGGAAATTGAAACAGATGTTAGCAACGTCTGAAAACACTATCTATTACATTACCTTATGCAAACAACTTGCATTGTTGTTTCCTTTGTATTGTTTCCTTTTGCATTCATAAAAAATACATCAGAAAATTTTTATTACAAAACAACTAACATCTTCTCAGTTAAACATCTTTCCAGCCTTTGTTAATACAGTATGATCTACTCATGAGCATGGAAAGAGGTAAGTTCAGACACTGGCAGGCTTAGGTTACAAAACCTAAAAAGAGACAAGGAAGACACCTCTAACATTATGCTCAAATAAATACTATTTAAATTGACACATTCTATAGGTTATTAGAAATTAATTTAAATACAAGTGGCCTCAGACCACACAAGGCCTCAGGGCAAAAAGAACATACTTTAGAATAAAAATGTCGGCACATTGTCCTAATTTGTAAAAAGAATATCCAATAGGTAGACAGATGAATCAGGAAATATATGAAGATGTCAGGACAAAAACAAAAAAAAAAACATAGACACAAAAATATAAAACCCCAGGATCTTGCCATCAGAACATGGACAGTGTCTTGGATATATCTACTATTTTTGTGTTTTATTAGACATGAGACCAGAAAGAGCCTCGGAGAAAGGAAAACCCTCTTTAATAGCTAAGAGCTTCCCTTTTTTGTCATAATTACATCAGCTATAATATGTGCTTTAGAGAGCTCAAATACAAAGCTGTTACCGGCATTTCAGTCATTGACTGAAGAGTAGAAACGCAGGGGCAATTTATATTCAGCTATTATCATAAAGGAGGTTCTGAAATGAAATTGGTTTTAACAGCAGTGTTCTAATGCAGATCAAGTTTAGCTAAAAAAAAATACACAAAAAAATCCAAATACATTATCCATTAGATGAAAACAGAACAGTACATTGGTCTAAAATGATTGCTGCATTTACAGGTCTTTGCATCTTTCTCCATTGTAAACCTGGTATTTGCTCCATTAAGTCTAACAGAGCTCAAATCAGAAAGCCTGTTTGCATAAGATATATTACTAATGTATTCCAGATGCAGCTCAGCCCTATAAGCTACTGTAGCTTCATTTCTAGCCCTTTTCAATTAGGAACCCTTTCCAAATCCTCTTTGTGAATGGCTACTAATAGCTCTCGTGCATATTCCATTACTAACTTCTTGGAGTAAAGACAATAAACTGGTCAATATCTGGGATAACTTATTGGGAGCAGACACTGAGCACAGCTTTAAAACTGCACTCAGCTAGAAACAGCAGTTCCAGCCCTTAAATATCACTGACGGATTAGGATAATCAGATATCAGAGTCTGTGTGTGAATGCAACACCCACACCTCTGTCTCAAGACAACTCCTACTAGTAGACAGTTGATTTCCTCTATGACAAAATACAGCACAGAAATTAAAAGCTAATTATTGTACAGGGCTTAATGAGCAGAAGGCAATATTTATGCCACCTGAAAATGAGTACATTGCTGCTTGGTACAGAATAAGAAAGTTTGCTGACACAAGGGGATTTACTCTAGATGGAATTAAACTCAAAGAATCTTAAAAGTTACAACCATTAAGAACCAACTTCCAAATTTACTAAGGATTATCATCATGACATTCCATCCAGTAATAGCTGCAAATACATGTACTATGATTAAAACATAGTTGTCAATAAAATTCTGAATTTTCTTTCACACAATTAATCACGTTAAGACAGGATCTTATTTCACTCTGTGCAGTATCTACTGCATTTTTAGGCAGTATATACAAGAGTATCAGAATTTTCAGTGTCATGAGCTGCATGCTGCAATGTTTTCTACGAGTGACTACTAAAAAGCCAACCCAATGAATAAGGAGAGAAGTTACTACACTTACAAATAAAATACTATTTTATTAATAGAACAAAAATAATTTACAGCCCCTCTATAAATTTGTACAGTAATATACAGTAGAAGTACTTTATCGAGACACAGTATATCAACAATCAGCTAAATCTCACCTTCTGTTCTTCCCAACTATCAAGCTAAGGTCAGAAAAGAAGTATAAGTTGAGGGCAGTAGGGGGAGTGAAGATTCCACAGCATTTTTACCCAACTAACTCAAGCCTCAGGTCTAAAGGTAGGATTAAGGTTTTTACAAAAAATACTCCCTTCTGGCAGAGGGGTTATCTAATTGGATATGAAGTTTTTTGCACAACATTTTAAAAAAAGAATAAAAATAGAATTTCATCCCATGCACACACAGCCACAGCCTGTTTGCAAGAGGAAGGGAAGAGACAAAAGTAGACTTAGAATAGCTTCAAATTTAAGCAGTCCAGCAGGGACTTACCTCCAACATCTCACTCAAACGCACATCAGTTCTTTGCTACAAAAAAAAACGAAAAACAAAGAACAATAACTACACAGAAAATAAGAAAAATACTTCCCACTGAAAAAAAAAAACTACACATACCAGTGTTTTTATTGTTCTCAGAGACTTTAGCAGTCCAATAAGCAACTGTCGCTTCCTCTGATTTGCAAGAAGCCCCAAACTAGTTTGTGTGAAGCCTTCCTTTGCTATATTCAGGTGTCTGCAAAAGTTACAAATTAACATAATCTTCAACAAATTCAGAAAATGAAACTTACTTCTAATCAATTCTAACATGTCCATCAAAATACATGCTAGAAAATAAGATCATTAGCATTTTTAAGGAAACTCAGAAAATGAGATATCAACAGACTACTAAGAAGGTACATCCTCCCTTCTGCATTTGTCTGTGGATCAGTGGTGTATCTCAAAACCTTCCTGTTTTGAAGAGAACCCCCAATGGCAAAAGTGAGAACTGCAAGAGTTTGCAATCATTTTAGTATCCTTAACTTCTACTGCTAATAGCATTCAGTACATAATATGGAAATATCATCAGCAAGCAAACTTCCTGGGTATACAGATTTCTTCTTAAATACTTTTTCCTCCTTTCAATCTCTGCAGTTACTTAAGCAAGATACCTTCTTCCATTTGTGCAAATAACAGCTGCTAACTGAAGGCCAGTCTGCAATGATGTAACACGTTCAAGTTCCTACAGAGAGACAATAGGTTGAATAAATATACAATTTAACATTGTGCTACACACCAATAAAGACTAGTGATTAGTAGATTTCTCTTGAGATGTTATAAAGACCTTGTAGAGTTGCTGTATATATTATTTGTTTCATCATTTTATATATGCTAAGCATTGCGATGTAACATTAATGAAAACTATCTTTTAAAATACAACTCTCTTTTGAAGTAAGATATTTGAAATCCATTTCCATTGCAGTGGGACCCTCTATATTTATATATTATACATTTAGCCTAAGAATCTCTAAACCATTAGTGCATCACAACAGAATGATCAAAGCTTCAGGGACAGAAACACAGGGACAGGCATAATTAATATGCCACAGAGCAGCAAAACAAAACAAACAAAAAAAATCATGTTTCACACAGCATTTTCTTGTTTAGAAGCACTTGTGTTCTACTGATTTAATAGATGTCACTTCATAATGAATGTTAATTGTATCCTGTTGAATTTCAGCTGAAAACTCTTCAGCAGAGGTGACCTGATTTTAGCTTGATTTTTGACTCAGTGAAGTGCCTAGTGTAATCCCAACTATTAGGATTTCTTTTGTTAGGAACAGTACTGTAGAAAAGTGAATGCTTCCCCCACACTACAGAAAATGATAATTTTTTTTAAATTCTGTTCATCATTTCAAAACATATCAAGTGCTTTCCATGAGGGGAAGGGAGACTTTCACTTTGAAAATCAAACTAATTCTAAAGATATGACAAGCAAAAACAAGTTCACAGTTTAGTTCAGTTCCAAATCAGCTCCTGGTCAGTCTCCAAATCACTGAGCTGCACCTTTCACCAAAATCAGCTCCTTTATGTTACCAACGTTGCTTTTGTAAAAATGACAGCTTTGTTGCTGATATGCAAAATATCTTAAGAAACCAAATTCAAAGATTCCTTTCCTCAATACCTACTAAAAACATACTTTGAAAATATGAGAGTTATTCAAAAGGCTTTTATTTCCTTTTTCATGAGGAAACACATACAATAAGGAGCAACTCCAGTCCTGCCTGTTGCAAAGATTCTATAAAATCTCTCCTTTGAATGTGACTGGATGAAGAGGCACAAGGAAAAAGTGCAGCCTAAAGGTCCCCAGAGAGAGTCTTCTGCCCAGCACTTAGGGCTGAATAAATTTTTTCTCTTCTCAAAGACAATCTTCCACCCGCTGTTTGTTCCTAAAGCATGCCTTTCCTTTCAAGGAGAAGGGAAAACTATAAATCCCTTGCCCTGTGTCTGTGCTATGCCTCTGTTAGCCCATAGTAGTGCCTGTTAGACAAGTATTCCATACTAGAAATGGGGTGCAAATCATGATATCCCTAAACTTTATTTTGCAGTTAAAATGCGTCCAGGAGACAGTCAACTGCATTTTTTATTCTTCTAATGACCTGCTGCTGTAATTGGACACTGAACTGCAGATGCCATTATTGACTTAATCAGGCTAATATGCACTTAAAAGAAACGTTTTTAAAAGACTCCTAGTGGCACAATGGATTTTTAACTGTCCCATTGGAACATCTGAAAGCACTTCTTGATATAAAACATGAGCACCTTACCAAGATGTTGCTGCGATAAGAACATTAACATTACACAGCAAAACGCAAGCAGCACATTTGCCGCAGTGAGAAGAGGTTTTCAAAGTGAAGCTGCTGGATTCAGAAAAGCAGCACTCACTCAAAAGTATCAATTTCAAACACGTGTGACAGTGCAATAATACCAGAAGGTTTTTATACCACACAGTTACTCCCCCCTACACTATCTTACGAAGTGTCAACCACAACTACCAGCCTCTTTCTGCAATAGCCTCCCACCTCACTCCTTTAACTAAAACTGAAACATTACTGTTACAGCTTTTTTCTTCCACTAGCTATTGCAGGAGATGAACCAAGCAGTGCCCAATCCCCCACATTTATCTTTAAACAGCAGCACTCCTCCTTTCACCCAGTGAAATGCCAGAGCACAGATGGCAGGGTCAGTAAGGCTGGATGCACGGGCCATGAGCACAAGCGAGGAGAAGAGGATGTTGTGCCCTCAGGATGAAAGCGGAAAATAACTGCAGCTCCATGACATCTACCATGGGTTCACATTCAGAAGTACAAGCCATCATTGCTCTCCCACACTCTTTACAGCTTCTTGACCAATATGTGAATTGCCATAATCACTGGTATGACAACGGTGACAAAAGGTGCTGTACATACACAGAATTATTCATCACATGATAATTCTCAGACTAACTTGGTAACAATCACTATTTTCCACTTTGCAGAATTCTCCATGTTGTTTCCTGAAACAATCACATAAAATCAGGCAGTGCTGACCACACATTATAGGAACAGTATGAAGAGTAAATGAGTAAAAATAAATGAAAAAAAATCTTCTTTTTAGAGAATCATTATGACAGCTGTTGCAAATATGTTTTGGGAGGAAGGAGAGAAGCCATGCCAATATTCTACTGCAAGCAGCTAAAGCAGTTTTGCTTTTAAGAGATCTCTGACATGGTGAGACTCTATTTGCAGCTCAGTCTTCTCTTACATGCTTTCTTCTCGCAACTGCCTGAGATCAGTGAAACTGTTCGTAAGCATAGGCACTAAAGCAGCTCCTATTCCAAGTCCACTAGAGGTATTAATCAAGCTTGTGAATTCATGTTTTCAGAAAGCCTTCTTAAAACTGACCATATGCCAAAACATTTATCATCCTAAGAATTCCAGCTCAATATGCCCTTGGTTCTTTTCACTATAGAGGTTTAGCATGCATAAATAGCTGGTTCCAACCAGATATTAGCATCCCTACTAACAGATGACTATATTAATCCTCAATGAAACCAGTGCAGTATTGTAACATCACAAAATTGAGCAGTTTACTCTTAAAAAGTAACTGTTAGTCTTCTTACCTCAACATATGCAGGCTGTTTCTCAAGGATCAAGTCTGCAACTTTTTTAGATACCTTAAAAAGAAGAACATTCCATGTAATACATAGCACTCTCAATTACGTAGGCCATGCCCATACTAAAGTTCTACAAGTTTGTGCTTCTCTATCACTTACTTCTGTATTTTTGAAATTTCTTAATAAATATTCCACAACAACATAAAAAAAAATCATAAAAATTATGATCAGTTTTCCTTAGAAGCAAGGTAAGAAAAATGTTCACAGTTTCATCTAGGGATTAGTGGGCATTTTTAAATTAATCCCTTAACTCTCTGCTTGTTAAGGAACATGCTAGAGTATATAAATAATTTGGCACACTGCAAGTATATTCTGCTCATCCTACTACTAGAGTACAAATTTAAGTTAACCATCTACCAAGGTGTGCTGGTTTGAGCTGGGCTGGAGTTAATTTTCTCCATAGTAGTAATATGGGGTTGTTTTGGACTTGCACTGAAAACAGTGCTGATAACACAGAGGTGTCCTAGCTGAGCAGTGCTTGCACAGAATCAAGGCCTCTTCTACTCGTACCACCTCACCAGTGAGTGGGCAGGGTGTGCACAATTTGCTGGGAGGGATCATAGCTGGGATAGCTGACCCCAATTGACCTAAGGGACATAGGGTCAATATGATGACCTCTATGTGACCACACGGTGACATGCTCAGCATGTAAAGCTGGAGGGAGAGGAAGGAAGGGAAGGATATTCAGAGTGATGGCACCTGTCTTCCCAAATAACTGTTACACGTAATAGAGCCCTGCTTTACTAAAGATGGCTGAACATCTCCCTGCCCATGGGAAGTAGTGAATTAATTCCTTGTTTTGCTTCACATGCTTTTGCTTTACCTACTTTTCAGCTATTTTTTTTGCATTATCTACCTTTATCTTAACCCATGAGTTTTCTCCTCCCATTCTCCCCTCCATCCCACTGGTGGGGAAATGAGTGAGTGGCTGCAAGGTACTTCATTGCCAGCTGGAGTTAAACCATGATAGACGGAGATCTAAGAAAGCCATAAAGACTGACATTGTATTAAATTAAATCTGTGTCAAAATGAATATTCACCCTGTGCACATTATACCCTTTCTTTAGCACACAGGATATGCGTATTTTAAAATTTTCCTCATTGTTCTCAAGTAACAGTAAGTGAAATACTACTGAGAGCTGCTGTCTGTACTGAATTTTAAAAAAAGGCATTGCTACCTTAATCAATCTCTTGTGCACAAACAGAGAAGCTTAAAAAGAAATACAACACTAACAGTCTTATAAATGCAAGCTTGAGAACAGTGTGTTTTGTTTTGTTTTTCAGAAGGGACTACAAATATTTAAGAAGAAATGGTTTCAAACATGACAAAGAAATTATTGGTATTGTTATATATTCTTCTGAGGGAACAATACTCCCAGAAAGAGAAATAAAATAAAACTGGCTGACAGCCAGCCCACAGTACACTACTGGCAAAGAGAGACAATGAGGTTTTTCTACACCTGCCTGCTTAGTCAAACATAGCACGGAGTTGGGATCTTCAATAAGCATTCCTGTAACAAACTTCTACCGGCTCCACTAAGTAAATTCCCATCCTCTGGAAGAACATTTGCATACAAATGGTCTTCAAAGTATTCCAATATCATCAGCTGGCAATCTGGAAAAGGGGCATATACCTAGCTATGCTTTCTTCCTTCCATATTAAAAGCAGGTCAGAATCACAAAGCAATTTTAAAACTTCTTGCTGGTTCTTAAAACCTCTCGGTAGTTCTATAATTAATAAAATGTTCCTCTTTCAGGACAGCAAAAGAACCACTCCAGAGTGGGGTGTGGTCAGGAAAGGATGTTATCAGGCCAAATGCCACACAAGCCTACATGACCTTCGGGCTCTTAAGAAGTTTTGTTCACTGCACAGTCTATGCCCTGTGAAATTTTTCCTCCCTTTTCCAACATGTTCTTCATTCTAGCCCTGCACCTGTAAGAAACTTCAGGACATGGATATACCTGCTAGTTATGCATTGCTCTAGTACAAATTCAACAGTTTGATTCTTCACTGTTAAAGCAGTACAAGTGAATAAGAGATATAGTTGTGCTGTGTTAACTCTTAGAATCCTGAATTGCAGTTGCCAGCAACAAATGTGACCACCACGGTTATCAAGGCATGCCAACAACATTTTCTGAGGGGACCAAACAGTTGTCTCTTTCCTAATCACATCAGTAAAAAATATTTCGTCTCCTGAAGAAAAAACAACACAGTTGAGGATATTAGCCTACTAATTAAAATGAAGTATGAAGTCTAGCAGACCTACAACTCAAGAAGCCTTCTAATACAAGTTGTCCATAGTAAGGTGATTACAAATTAATGTTGTCATGATACATACATTGAAAAAAAGTTTGAGTGAGCTGGAATCCATCCAGTGGAATGAAAAACCAATGAGCAAACTACAGAAAATACAGAGTCTATAGTGACTCTAACAACAAAGGCATGTCCAAGATCAGCTGTGCAAATGCAGATGGTAACAGTCAGTGAGAAGTGGAAGATTAGAGCTCTAGTATCTGTAATTCACACTCATATGAGTGCTTTGTATAAGAGAAGTTTAGAAGTTGGTATTATCTCTAAACCACCATTGTAAATTCCTATGCTACCTATAGGTACAGACACTGAAGTGAAAAAGGCAGTATTTAGTCTTTTTCAAAAGCAGAGGTATTGTGTGATATGTCAACAGACTTCTTGAGTCCTCTACCTAATAATTTATTCAAATCACTATTAAAATATTTCTAGGACTGAACTAACAACATACAACACTCTGTAGTACTGTCTTCCACAGAGGACACTAAGCTCCTTTAATCTTTAATGCAGACAGTAATCTAAATGACCTATCACAAGATAAATGGACAATAATTGAGACAGAAGAAGAAAACATGCAACAGCCTCTCACACTCCACCTGGAAATATGACACAAGGACATGAAATACAGCATATAAGAAATTTTAGCACCTTGGCACATGCCTAAGGAAGAAAACAACCAAGCAACAATTCCCTCCTATAGCAGAAATACATTTTGACTAGATTAAGGAAAGGCCCAATCCTGACTGGGGAGATGGTAGGAAAGAACTGGGCACATGTTTCTTGTCAAAAGTTTTTGCTTTTACGTGTTTGTATTCTAAAAGAAAGACACATCTGGGTAATATTTACTGGAAACCTTGTATTCAGTTCTCACCCCTATTATTCATTAGTTGCATGCACTTTCCAGTTCAACTATTTCAGCAGCAGCCAAGCCCTGAAACTATTCCCCCAGCTGCAACCAGTTCCCATCCTGAAAGCAAAAATGGCCAAGACATTGATAACACACATAGGGTTATTCAGCATATCTCAGTGAAGTTGTCTCAGTCATGAGAACATTTCCTTTCAAAACAAGGTAATCACCAGATGTCCCCTTAAACTTAAAAAAAGAAAAAAAAAAATAAAACAAAAACCTACCACTCACAACTTCTTTCCTTATAGCTCTTGGTGAGAAATATGGGATATTGGAATATTCATTCATTTCCTCAACTTCTCACTAGTACTTCACATAATTTCATATGTATATTCTGGGGGAAGCAGCCTTAGGCAGAAGGCACTTGTTCTCTATGTATTGTTAACAATGCAACATTTCCCTTCTATAAATTTCTTTCATTTAAAGACATGCATTAGGACTACTGCTTTTATTTTACTTGCAGATACTCTCCAAATACCACAGTTAATACATTTGTTTCCTGTACCATATTATTCATCTTAAAAGAGCAATGGAACAACAACTAATGTATGAATAGAAAATAAAAAAGCCAGGAATATAACAAGTACCTTTCAAAAACTGCAGCTTCGACTTCTCACCTTCGACTACTCATAACATTCCATTTACTTTATTATGTAATAACTCTGTGCCAGTATTCACTAGAAACTCTTGTGGACAATTAACAAATTGGCAAATGAAAAGTAAGAGAAAACAGCATCTCCAAGGAGACAGTTTTCAAAACATTTTATGTCTTACGTTGCTAGAAACCCCACAAAAAGAGAGATAGTACTGCACCATTCAGCGCCGTGTTGAACATGACCTTTCTGGTAATAGACATGAAAAGATGAACATTCAGAAAATCAAGTTTCTAAAGAAATAGCACATTTGTTTGTTACTATACTTGTCACTAAGACTTACTTCCATGATTTCATACAATTATATGAGGTAGTGATGCTTTTCCACTATAAAGGCACACAATATAATATTTTTTTAAAATTGTATAATATTTGAAGTGTTTAAGAAACCAAAACTTTTTCAGTTACACTTCTTGCTAGACTTATAGACAACATGCAAATTGTGTGAGGGTACAGAAGAAACAAGTTTACTTACAGCAGCTTGCTGTTGTTTTAATTTGTCTCTGTACTCTTCCAGTTCTTGAAGAATAAGTACTGGAGGAAGCCTCTGCATATAAACAATAAATTAAATTCAGTGAGAAATTAAAGGATGTTAAATCACACGTAGTATTAACTAAGCAATCAATTTCATTAAAGAAACATTCTTATTGATTTTGCAATCTAATTTGCAGAATTAATCCATTATTTCAAATGATGGATACTGAAATCAATTAGTGGTAAGATATACAATGTATTATCATAATTGCCTCATAATTACCTCAAAGTTACTTTATTTTAAGCCATATATAAACACACACAACTCCCAACAAGGAAATTATTATATCTCAGTTAGTTTGCTAAAAAAAAAATACACAAAATACAGAACCGACTTTTTTTTTCCTGAACATTTTGGCTTTTTCACTATAGTTTGAATTATGAAGTGTCTGTTAGCACAACTGATATTAATGCTACCACATTAAAAGAGACTGCACCAATACTATACACTAGAACTGCAAAATGACGTAGGAGAGTATGGTTTCATATTAATGCAAGATATAAGAAACAAAACAAAAAATAGCTCATTGAAATAAGCATATTTTTGATCTTCATTTTTTGTTATGCTGCTGTCTTTTCTCTTAAGCAGAGAAAAGCTTACCTCTAACTCATACTTCACAATATCAAAGGAATCATTGGAAAAATAAACTTCTTCAATGCTGTTAATTATTTCCTGCTGTGCCTGAGGATCAGTTGGTTCTTCATGTAGTTCTCTGAACTCCTCCTGCACAAAACAAAAAAGGATTTCCATAATGTAATAACACACCCTAACAAAAACAATGTTTTAACAAACCAACAATCTTTCAAAAGCCATTTACAACATTAGTACAAGGAGCAAGGGCAAAAAACAGAAAGATGAGTATGCTGTGGCTTGTTCTTCCCATTAGGGACAGCAAGATACTTAAAACATTTCAAAAAACATAGTACAGATTTCAACATTGCAGCTCATTTAAACACTTCTTCATCAATACATTTATGGCACAAATGCATGTTGAGTCCATGGATTTTTCCCCCTGAAGTTTAGAAATTCTCATAATAAACTGGCAGGCTATTTCTCAGAAGGAAAAGAAAAAAAAACAAACACCAAAACCTAAACAAATAAAACCTGAATTTTTAAAATCAGAAGAATCCTCTTTGCAAATGTAAGGTAGACAGTGACACTACAAATGTATAACTTTCAAGTCAGCACTCACAATTCACTGAAATAAAAGTCATATCATTAAACACTTGAATTTTTTACAGGTAAACCCAGAACACACCTGCCTTCTTTGCACAAGATTAACAGCTCTCAGATTTTAGCACAGTGGTCTAAGCAGAGATGTGCTGTCAGCTTTCTGAAAGCTAATATTCAACAGGTAAGCATTCCCTCCTTGCTGTCATGATCTCCCCTCAGCCTTCTCAATGACTCAGCTGCTACCAGTGGTTAGCAAACCAAGAACTGAGACTCCCCCTGCTGTACTGGACATTGCAACTAATTCTTATCCTGTTCCAGATGTTGTTCCCACCAAAGGAATGAAAAATCCTTCATCAGACACTCTAAAGGTCTGTGAAGGATCAAAAATAAAGATAAAATGGACCAAATTGTTGATATTGGAATTAAACCCTGGTGAAACAATCCAGAAGACTGAAGAGTCCCATAATGACCCTGAGCCTCCCAACAGTGCCAGGCTGTTACAGGGACAAAGTGCCAGTATTTTCATCACCAAGAGCTCAAGGGCTTATTTATATCACTAGCTAGAGACATCAGATTTTAGATTAATTGACTAAACAACCACTAACTTGCTTCTTTTGTACATCAACTGAAACAAGGTCAATGTGTACATATTACGAGGCAAAGTGACACTTTTAATGCAAGCAAGGTGCTGTTTTTCTACAGAGTTGGGGGCAGCCAAGGGGTGACGAGTGGACGGTTTGGAAGAGCATCAGAAGGAGCCGCTGCTCCTCTGAAATACCTCTCACCAGAAAAGAAGAGAGGGGTAAAAAAAGGAAAAAAAGGAAAGAAAAATAAATAAAAGGGGGGCAGACAAAAAGCAGCGGCTCTGATACACAGAAGAAAAGATTTCCAGCGGATTTGGTGATCCCGAGCGGCCACGACCGAGGCTGAAGGAGCGGGCGGTGCTCGGGCGCCACCCGCTGGGCCGCGGGCGAGGCCGCAGCTGGAACGCGTCTTCGAGCCGACATGGGCAGCGGGTAACTCGGAGAAAAGCCCTCGGAGCTACCTTCTTCCTCTCCTGGGCGGCCCCAGGCGCCTCTGATCTCGTCTGAAACGCCTGATGCAGCCACTGCCACCAGAGCAGGTGAACGCAGCGACCCATCTACCAACAGCACGCACCGGCAGCAGGGGAACGAGGGAGGGCATGGACTGCACCAACAGGCCGAGAGAAACAAGGAAATAATACAGATCAATAACTATATATATAACAACATATATAATAAATAACAATATCAAAGGAAACTGATGCCGGTTTTTAGGCAAACTCTTAAAGATGCATTTGGAGCGTGGACCCGCTCTTAGCGAGCGCGTCCCAAGTGCCACGAGCCACAACAACGCCTTGCCGAGAAGAAAGCAAAGGCTGGGTCAGCTCCTGCCACTGAAGAGCAGAAGGTGCCAACACGAGTTTGCAGGAAGCGCCTGCAGCTCCACACCGGCACCAAAGAGACAGGCAGGACTCCAGGCAGCCAGGACTGTCCCTTCAGCGCCAGCCACACAATTCACCCAGCAGTGACACCTTTCCACCTCATGTTTCTGCTTTGCCAAGATCACGAGAAACAGAGGACAGGAGGGCTGGTTAGGGATGAGAGCAAGAAGATTTTTGACAAATAGTCCTTTTAGAGTCTGTTTCAACTTTTTAATCTGTGGCTTGAAGTTTCCCTCACGTGAGAGCACACGGATTGGCAGGGGACACACACATTCAGACTCAATGGCATACCACTTTTACACTAATTTAATTTAGAAAGCAATGAAGCTAATAACTAACCATATGCATTCCTGCCCCTTAAAACAAACAAAAATTATTTCCCTCTGGGCTCCTTAACAAATCATAGCTTTATACTGTACATCCCTCTATAAATCAGCTTCACATCTTACAGTACATTTAGTTTTAGCTATATGAAACTAAAATTAAAAATTATCCAAGACAGGAAACAGGGTCCACTGAACCATTGCAAATGGAACGATGCAATTTATCATCTGATATTTGCCTACAAGTTCCTGCATTGCTGTTTGCTAACAGAAAAAAGATGAAAAACTAAACCCAAGGAGAAATCCTCAAGATCATTTAAAATCTGCACCATTGATACCTTGTCATATTGGTGAAATAATATGTTAATGCATAGGTCAAGGTAACTGACATCTGATAAAGATGCATTAAGAAAGCCACTGTGGACACATATTCTGGATTTGGATCCATGTGGTAATGAATTGGAGGCGTGTTTTTAATATTAGGATTTCAATGAAGCCTTATCAATGACCTTTTTGCTGTCACAGAACACCACAGTTTCCAAGACAAACATAAAGCTGATGTTGATGTGACTATGAAAATGGCTAAGAAAGCATTTTATCCTGCCTCAGAAAGACCATTCACCTCCATGTTTCTTGCCAAAATACTACTCAGGAAAATATTTTTTAAATGGACAAGGTTTTTCATTATATTGTATATTTTTTTAGAAAAGCAGTCTAATGAGATAACTCTCCAGGATAAGCTTTAGCTCCCATATAAATTACACTGTCTGCCACCAGACTTTATGCCATGATAACCTGCACCTTCCAATACATTACACTCCACTAGTTTCAAGGAATAATATGCTGAAGGCCAATGTATTCACTCACCACTGAAGGATGCAACCACCATTGGCTACAGTTTATTTGCTGATATTCAATTTTCATCATCCCTTCAATTAGATATACAAAACAATTTTGCTATATATAAATAAGCCCACAGTTTCAGGGGCCTCAGCAAAGGCCAGATTTAGCAATGTGAAGCTTGTACTCACACACTTTGCAGAGGGAAAGAAGGAAGTGCTATTGAATCCCTCAAGGCATTTTTCCACCTCAAAACCTTTAACTATTGCCACTTAAGTATCTGCCTTTAAAAAAAGTCATCATTAAAACATGCTTGATAGGAAATTTTATGTTAATTCAGCAATTCCAAGTGCTATTCTGAATTTAAAAAATTGCAACAGAGGGAATCATATTATAACAATCATGCAGAGGACTTTGCCATTGCTAAACTGAATCAATTAGATATATAGGAGATGAAGAAGAGCAGCATATTGGCAAGGTGGATCCCACAGTAGTCACTTCAATCCACCTGCCCAGGTTAATACACACATTCAGTAGTTGGATCTCTCCAAGCAATAAAGGGCCAACAGCCATCTAAGAAGCTGTGTCATGGGCTACTCCTTTTTATAAAGTTTTCTTCAGCAAGAGGCTTCACCTCCTGAGTAAAAGTTGTGTCACTTGTGAAGCCAACTGTGCTTTTCTTTTTTCCCCCAGTACTTTCGATCATACTTTCATGGAAATACAATTTCTCCTGTCAGGCTGCCATCAGTGCAACCCTCAGCAGCAGATCTCTTCATAATGCTCCCTAAATAGATCAGTGAAAGACAGCTTCTAGGGAGGGAAAGAAAAAAGAAAAACCCTACCAGTCTGATGGCTTTACATACTTGAAGAAGCCATTGCCAAGTAAAATACAGTGCTTGCATCCACACACTTCTCACATCATTTTGCCTTCCTGTTGCAAGGAAATAAAAGTTTACCATCTAGGAGCCTGTGGCAATTCCTTGAAATATATTTCAGAAGAGTCATCTCATTGCAGACTCATCTGAAATGCAGTTTAGCAAGTTTTAGATGACTACCCAGCTATTTCCCAGTGTGTCACACTCCCACTCTCCTTGTATTCTATACTGCCTGTAACAGCAAAACCAATATTGCTCTGTTGAATGAAGCATTACTGGTAGGGAGTTGAAGCAAACACCTTCTGTATTCCAGTCACTATCAACTAAAAGACTTGGGAAGTAAAGACGTTGAAAAAAGGTAACTGCTACTACTCAGATAAAAAAAAAAATTCTAATCTAATTAGAAGCTGAAGTTCAGAAACAACCTATGTACCTCTACCCAGAGAGTGCCAGGAGCCAAATCTGTGCTATACTCACTTGGACACAGCCTCCTTCTCTTTGTCATGAAACAAAAACACACCAATGAATATGGTGTAGATTTATATCCTTCCATTTTGAACAGGAATAATACTTCCGTTAAAAGCTAATCCTAAATACCAGGATGAGGGCTCTGCTCAAAAGATTCAATCAGCAGGTATACTGCAACATCCTACCACTATGAAATTAAAAAATATAAAAAAGTATTTATATACATATATACATAAACCAAATCGTTTATTTTAACAATATACAAATAGATAGACAGATATAAAATATGTGTTCTATAATGTATATATAACTATATCCATAAACTCACTTTGTTTGCCCTCCCTTCTTCTCACCCACTTTCCCCCACATGTGGGAAGGCAGTCCCACAGGGAAGTTTAAGGTATTCCCTATCTTTGATGCAAAAAGCCCAGAACTTTCTTTTGCTCTTTCCTCCTTCAGTATGTATAGAGAGTACTTATTAAAAAGCTCTCACTAAACCAAAACAAACTGTGAAAACAGCTCTCCTGATTAAGAGAATAACAAAGCTGACCTATAGAACAGCTATTAGCCACACCACCACTTAATGCACTCCTTTGAAGCACTCAGCTACTGCTGGGGAAATAGACTAACAAAGCCATACTTCTATATATATAGGAAAAGCATAAAAAATAAACTTTTGGTGTTGTTTACCACCATAAGTCACGAAGTCAAATAATAGTTGTATATTGTGTATGAGCTGATTATCATCAAAATAAACATAATCTAATTCAAAGTCAACTCATCATTAACCCCACACACTTGAATTCAAGCATAGAAAATACCTATCTCACCCTTTTGTGACAGAATCTGCTAAACAAAACTGTTATCAGCTTGGAAAACTACAGAGCTGACAATTCCAGAATGGTTCAAAAAGAATTACCATTTGCCAGGGCAATCAAGGCATACCAGTGAAGTAAGATATCTCAGACAAAAAAGATATTAAGTCTTTCTGCAAACAACTTTTTCTTCTAGATATCATAGAATCATCACAGAATCATAGAATGGTTTGGATTGGAAGGGACCTTAGAGACCATCTATTTCCAACCCACCTTTCACTAGACTAAGTTGCTCAGAGCCCCGTCCAGTCTGGCCTTGAGCACCTTCAGGGATGGGGCATCTACAGCTTCTCTGGTCAACCTGTTATATCCAGCCCAGCAGTTCAGATTTGATTGCTCTGCAGACACTAACACAGACTTAAACTATTATACACTTACATCTTACTATGATACAATTACTATTATACACATACTTCCCTGTGTGAGTTGGCTGTATGAGTCTGTATTGGAACATAGAGTAAAGCAACTTTGCTAGTGATTTGGCTTCATGTGATGGAAGCAAATTGAAATTTTTCAAGATAGTTGCAGAAGTTATTGGAATACTGGCTAATGTGAGTGCATTCACTCAGTAAAATACCCAGGAACCAAATAATTTCATTCCTTAAAAATAAAAAATTGAGAAGCACAGTCATAATTGAACATGCTGGCCAGCAAGCAGTCAGCAAACTAACAACTTTCAGACATCAACACGCAAAGGAATTTTGCCGGATTTGCCATCAAGAGATGAATTGTCAACATGTTCTTCTTCCCGTGCTCCATATTTCCCATTTGACCTCCAAACTAGTGTGACAGTCCCTCATCTCAAAAACATGGTTTTGTTCCCAGAGTCAGCATGATCTATCAATGGCTTGTGCTTTTTCCAGTAATTCATGCTGGCCCTGCAGCCTTTCACTCTGTATAGCCCTCCATAGCTTTAACACAGTTTTTTGAAGCTTTCAGTAACACTTGCCCTAAATCAATCTGGAGATATGAAACCAAATGTGGAAGTGTGATGATGAAAGTGCAGCATCATAACCATTCTGTCATCAAACATCTTGAGACTTTCATGATTCAAGATATAAACAAAAACAGTTATAAAAACAGGGCAGAAAAGAAAAACATTTGTGTTCAAGTAGCAGCTTGAAACAGTACAAAGTTATGCTTTTACTCATTGCCTTTAAAAATCTGCACCTTTTCCTAAGTCTTTACTTTTGCATTCAAAAGTGAATTTTCTTTACCAAACCTGTCCATTAAAATACAATAATTACTGAGAGGCATTAGATTATATCCAGCAAAGCTGCTTGATCCTATAATTATAATGCAATTCTGTTT